GAGTGCCTATGTAAAACTGTCAAGGTCATAAACCAAGGTGCGGTGCCATCTGTCATTTTCCCAGGCTTTCCTTTGTAACTGGAGCATCAGTGCACAGCGCAGTGGCCACGCTTACAAACATAGTGGAAGCAAAGCCTGCAGGTCCAATCAATCGGGTTTATGTAGCAATTATTCCAGGGAAGGGGAGTGGGCACTGTATTTTGATTGCAGTGGCTGGGAGACTTAAAGTGGCACCCTACGGAGGAATTTAAAAGCAATGCATGGTAAAACTTTCTGGCAGCAGTTATATTAGACATTGCAATTTGTATTACAATTCTGACCAACATTGTCTCTCTGATGCACATGAGTGTTAGCCATTTCTCGTAAAAACTTAATATTATGGCGCCTTGGAGTTATTATGCAAGTCTCAGTTTTCTCCACAGAACCAGTCTGTGTTTACCTCCTGAGGGTTTAACTGCACTACAGCGATCTAACTGGTGTTCCCAAGACATAACCCTCAAAACTCTTTGGACCCGCATATAAATCGTCGTCCTACAATAAGATGTTGCTTGCATTTTATAAGTGAAAAGATTTTCTGCTGGTGAACTTTCCTTTAAATCTACACAGTAAAAATGGCAGGGTTAAATTAACACCCACAGTGTTAATTTTAACACCAACAAAGTGTTTATATGTGTCCAAGTCAGCTGGTGTTAAAGTAACACTTTTGAAAGTGTTACAAGTTTAACACCCAAATTCGCGTTAAATTAACACCAGACATTGTTAACATTCAACAATGCTAGGTGTCATATCAACATTACAACAGTGTTGGTGTTAAAATGTAGTGTTAAAAGTAACACAACTGTAGTGTTAATTGCAAAACATAATGTGGTGTTAAAAAGGTAAATGATTGACACCCTATGGTGTCAATCAAAGTGAAAAAATATTCAAAACAAGACATAATTAAGAGTTTAACTTTTATTAAACCCATTTCTGTGTTACAGACCTTCAACGCACAGCTCATACAAAACAGCAGCACGGCACAATAATACAATAATATCAGATCAGAGACACAAACAATAGCAAACATCATCCAAAATCTCTACTCAAATGATCATCAAAATACTTTAGCAGCGACAAGGAATACCTTATCATCTGTGATTATGAAATGAGTTGAACATTTTTTTTTTGTGCTGAGCCTTACAAATATAACATGTTGGCATATTCCAAGTGTCAGTTCTCACTCTGATTTCCTTGACTCTGGGGCTCTCCTTTGTTGTTAAGATTCAGATCTGCCTGTGTGTCTTTCCACAAAGCTCAGCCATGTTTCTTGGAAAGTTGATCTTTGTTGTAAAAATGTAAAGCTATGCATGTTAAAAATGCTTTTTGGCTCCTGCCTAAAGTCCTGTGAGAGCATAGTTACGCTGCTAACTGTGGGATCTCTGATAGGTATGCAACCATGAGAGTAAATGTCACTGCGATCCAGGCTGGGCTCCGCCTTTCTGTGCTGTACAGCAGTCAGAGCTGACTGAAGGTATTGTTATTATGCTTTTCTATCCCATGTGAATCTGCCTCTTTAAATGCTTGACCTTTTTAGGACTCTTATTTTGCACATGACTGTTTCTTACATGATTTAATATTCATAGACTCTACAACAGTCTGTCCTCATGAGCAAAAACAAACGGTGAATTAATTCAATTTCCCCCATTAGTCCACACAAATGACATTACTTTGAATTTTTGTCTCCAGGAGAGATGATGTATGTTGTTTCTCAGACGTCATCATAACCGGTTGTGTATTGGTGTGTGTGTGTGTGTGTGTGTGTGTGTGTCTAGAGTCAGGCCTGGCTATTGTCATTGTGTCAGTGATCGTTGGCTTAATTCTCCTGCTGGTCATTCTTATTGGGAGTCTGACGTGCTTCCTCAGAAAAAGGACACCGACAAAAAGGTGAGACAGAAGTTTACCTCTTTAAGTTAGCTTTTCTTAACACTTATGTCTTAGATTTGATCTCATTTGTGTTTTCTTTATAGGTTTCTTCCAGTGACCTCTGGACAATCCAACCCAGTTTTTCAGTCAAGCACCAGGAGAGGCAGCTCTCGCCTCGGGTCCACTCACATCAGCCAGCCTACTTTTGTGGAGTCATCTGTTTCTCAGCCCTGTAAACCTCTGTTCTCCGCTGCTGTCAAACCACAGAGTGGAGCTCTGAAGCCCTGCAGGGCAGCTCCAGCGGTAAGCCCAAAGCCTCAACACCCAGCTGCAGTTACACCCCGAGACTACATATGTTTTGACTTACATCGTCTATGAGACATCACACTGAATATTACCATTAGTGGTTATGGGTACAAATTTAAGGCTGCCAACTGAGGCCAAAGGGAAAACATAATAATGGTTTTACTTCTTTTTCTTCTGTTTCTTCAATTTTCAGCCTCCAGAGAAGGAACCAGTTGCATCTCATTTATCAAAGGTTCACCAGGTAATCTGAGTTTCTCTTTTTGCCCTTTTGTCGATTGTAGTCATGGGCAAGGTTTCTGCATGTCATTCCTGCTGTTTAAAGCATGTGAGCATGTTGCAGAAGCTAAAATAACAGCATCATGTTCCATTCTTTTTAAAGTAACTCTGATTTTAAAAAGTTGGAAAATTATGAGAAACCTAGACAAATAACCCAAGTAATTCGCCAGCTTTATTTAAATACCTTAAAAACTGTAAAGCCATGATTGTTGTGATGTACAACAAATTATATTTTCTGCCCCTTTGGTGTTGCAAGAGTTAAATAAATGTTTCTTTTATAGGTTGCAAGGACATTCATGCAGCCACCAAATGTTTCAAAGCTGCCAATTTATTCCGAGGTGAATCAACACAATAGCATTTCAAAGTACTAATTGCCAAATAAAACTGATTGCCCACAAAAAATGAGTGTGACAATAGTTTCAGTTTCCTGAGGTTGTCTTTTGTTGTTGACAGAATAAGCCCCTGCCACCTTCTAGACCACTACCCCCACTTGCATCAAAACCAGTAAGTGATGCAAGTACTCTTATTTACATTCATGAATTGCATTGTTCTTGTATTTTGTTTTAATAATTAACATTCTACCGCTAAGAACATGAAGCCAAAACCTCCCATGCCTCCGCTGAAGCCGAAGCCCTCTCCAATCCAGTCTGCCCTGCCACATTCTCAGCTGGTATGTAGTCACAAAGCAGACAGAGTGAATAAGACTTTCCAACCTCTGACATAGCTGCTATTGCCATCCAGACATCCCTAAATGTTATAAAAGGCATGCACGTTTATATAGAGATCTGTGGCTCTTGGCATTGCCCCAGCATAGCAGTGTAATGAATAAGCAGTGGCTCACTGTCGGAGTCGTCTCGGGTCTTAATAACTGGGACTGCTGCTCTGTGAATTAAACAGGAGGACATGTTTGGATAAAGAAGACTGAAGGCCGCTTATCTAAACTGAGTGTGTTAACTGTTTATTCGTGTGTTTTTTTTTTTTTTTTTCAGCTTGGTAGGAGAGCTCCCTTAATGCCCCCCAGCAGGCCGAGATGACAGTGGGAATAATTCACACTGTTGTAAATACTGACATTCTCTGGCAGAGACGCTGAGGGACCAATAAGATCCTCCTTGGAGACGTTCATCTGTTTTACATGTCGGGGAAAAAGACCCACAGGGAGACGTGCGTAATGAAACCAGGAATGTTACAGTCTCCCCGTGGATGACCTGTTATCTGCGTCCTGCTCATGCCAGTCTTCAGCTGGTGTACCTGAAGCAATGTTTGACAAAACTTAGCTTAAGTGCTTAACGGATGACAAATGGCACTGCTGCTATGATGATGACTGATTTAGTGTTATAGGGAAATTATTCACTGTGTTGGGTTTTCTCCAGCTTTTGTAAGTCGCCTGCACTATCAATGTTTGTTTACACATACCTTGGATGAGACTAAGCATGGTTGCACATATTCTGTTTTCAGAAGCTGGGACAAGATGTTAATCTGCATAGTTAGAGAACAAAAAAATCAAAATCAAAATACTGTTGCATCGATCTCTGGAGATAATGAGGGATGTTATAAGATAATAAAAAACAACATGTATGTACAGGGAAATGATCAGATTCCTCATGTTTCATGTACTTGACTGCATTTCTGGCACATGATCTAAACTGAGAGGAAATGTTACAAAGAATGTAAACACTCTCTGGCGTACTAAATTGGTAGTTAGTTCGAATTTGGTTCTGGTACTTTTATACTTTTTTTAAATAATAATATGAATCACAGAGACACGCTGGCTGACGAGAACAATAAAAACTGTCAAAACTCCTCTGGCAGATTTTACATTAAGCAGAAGTTCACATCATTTTGTGTTTCATTTTTATGTATCTTTTTTTTCTTCTTTTTCCTTTTTTTATGTTTTATATTTTTAAGGAATTGTTTGATTTGCCCCACTGTTAACCAATTTATTGGTCATTTATGTAATTTTTTTGTACTTTTGATTCTGTTTGTGGGCTTTGTTGTTTTATTTTTTCAAATGGTCACTTTTATGTCTATTTATGTTTTTATTACTGAGAGTGGTGTGTGGCTGCCCAATGAAAGCTGTTAAGTGTTTTTTTTCTTTTTTGTGCATTACTTTAAATTGTTTTTCCCTTTTGCTTTATTTGTATTTGTTGTGTTTTATGATCTTCTTTTGACATTTCATCCTGGTATTTGCGTCTATCGTGTGGGTTTTATATTACAGCATGAGTAGTAGAGGAGTTATAACTCCACAAGCTGCTCTGTATTGTGCCATTCAGCACTATCATTGGCACTTTATTCATTGTATAGCTTTTCGTTATAATTTAAGTTTCTTTTTTTTAATCAAAATTAAAAGATATATTCTTGCGTCATGATTGTAATTCTTAAATATATTTCGCAATTGTCTGCAACCACGGTGATGGAAAGATTGTGCCTTCATTTGTATTCCGTCTAAATAAATCACCCAAACTATTTATTCCCTTGTGTTTTCATTCAGAAGCCATTTTATTGGTTCAACAGTGGTTACCTAGCAACCTCTGAAACAAACACGTTAGCGGAGAGCTAACTAGCTAATTGTTTTACGCTCAGAGATTCGCATTGTTCTGGTAATGGCTCATGAGCTAAGCAATGAGGAAGAGCGAGATACCCTTGAATGGATAGATAAAATACCTTTCTCCAGGCCCAAAAAACACATCAACAGGGACTTCAGTGATGGAGGTAGATCTTGTCTTGTGTCTGTAAATGCTTGCCGATTGTTTACTCAGTTTGTCCATGTCAGTTTGTGTTTTTATTTACCCGGGTACTCTGTGTATCTCTACATGCTGGACCCTCCTGCAGTGATGGTTGCGGAGATTGTCAAGTATTATTTCCCAAAGATTGTTGACATTCACAACTATATTACTTCCTGCAAAAAGCAGCAGAAACTCAGCAACTGGAGCCTTCTCAACAAGTAAGACAATCCGCAACTTTGTATTTTATTACATCTGATTCCTGGGAATTATTGGAACCTGCCATAGCAATGCATTCATATTGGTGCATTCATATTTTATTTATCAGTTAAGATCCTGTTTACTTTTTTCGATCATTATCTACTTCTACTACGTTCAACTAATTGTGCTAATTCATATATCAAAACGTTCTGCTTTTTCTGGACATTATTGCTATGTTTGTTTGGGTTTTTTTTTTGCTAAACTTCACTATTTTACTTTTTTAAATATTTATGCTTTTGTGCAAATTTCAGCCCCTTTGAAATACATTGAAATTCTACAAAATTCCACCCACAACTTGCTACTTCTGCCTACTTCAACCTTGAAACTCCATTCATTTTTTAAACAAGTCACAGGACTTTAAACTACATTCAAATGTCTCGGCTATCTGAATATGAAGCCGGAATTTAATTGATCATCGATTAAACTGCTCTGATCAAATCCAAAACATGAAGCATGAATATAAAATTGTAAATGTGTTTTATAAGAGCTGATTCTTCAAAAGTGAAAAAAATAAATAAATAAATAAAACAAGTTTTACCTATTTTTACAAATCATAAAAAAAGACGGAGAGCTTGGTTTTCAGTGAGTGGACTGGTTTTCTATGCAATGCAAATACTAAACTAAATCTTTTGTCTGGGCCTTTTCATCAAGTCATCAGAAAACACTGACATACACCCACTCACCCACATCCTGGTAACTGGAGTTACACACAGCCAAGTACAAATTTATGAGCCCCGACTGTAAACATAGCTGTCCCTGTGGGCTCATTAGTAAATTGCATGCCGTTTGCTTTTGACTTTTTTTTTTTTTTTTTTTTGTAGTAGAAACATATGTTTGTCTGTATGGTCAGGAGGGTGTTTTCCAAGCTGGACTTTTATATCACAGAGGAAATGGTGGAGAAGATTGTTTCAAGCACTCCTGGGACGATACTACCAGTGCTGTTTTTCCTGAAGAAAAAGTTAGACAAGAAACTGTTGCAAACAACCAACAGTAGACCAGTTTGTATTTGCACATAAAAACTTTAAGTCACATTTTGTTCAAATTTCTGTGGTCTATTTTATTTATTTTTTATTTTTATCTCCTTCCTACGTAGGATTACGTTGGCAGCGGGAGCCAGGAGAAACCGTTTTCAGGTACTATGTTAAAGCTTCTGCACCATCATTAATGTGGTTTTCATGGGAGTGAATCATCACAAGACGGTGATGAAGAAAAATTACGAAACTATCACAAGGTTGATGACAAAAATGCAATTACACAAGCTAAAGTGCTGATTTCAAGCAAAGTGTGATGACTTTGCTGACTTCCTGAATGCCATAAATGCAGGATTTAAAACGTTAACGGGGTATGTTGTGGAAAATGTTAGCTGACAATGCCCAAAATGTTTCTATTTCAGTCTTTTTGGTCTGAAAAGTGTAATTTTAGACTTTCTAGTGTGGTGCTGTACTCGGCTTAGCTCAAAGTTTATTTATGGAGCTCTTGTAAAAACAATGGATGTTGACTAAACGGCTGAACAAGTCAATAAAAGCAAATAATCATTACACTGCTTGTAATGATCGTTACAAGCAGTGTTTACTCTTCACAAATGATGTGGCTAAATGAAAAAGAAATTACTTTTAAAAATATATAAAGTAAAGAATAATATCATTTGGAGTCCAACTCAGGCTTAAAAACTCGTTTTACAGGTTTTAAACTAACAAGACATTTTTTAAAATATAAATATTCAGAATAATATCTGCTCCTTATGAACATCAGTAATGTCTACTTCACTGTATGTAAAGTAAATATTTATTGTATGTATTCAGGCTCTAGAGATGTAAAAGCATGGCATACTCTCTCCAGATCTTTGAGAGAGCGATAACCTTTGACCTTTGGGTCTGAGTTGGTAAAAGCTTGACATAATGACAGAGGCCACTTGCTTATAAAATTTAAAACCCCTGTCAAAAGTCACGCTAGCAATTTTGACATCTGAGAAGAGAAAATGATAAAAGGTCCCTGAGAGAGAACGTAGCTGGACCTGAACAAATATAAAAAATTTTGCTTTTACTTTGACTGCTTTTACTTCTCAGTATTTGTTTTGGACATTATCAGAATAAATTGCTAAAATTGATAGAATGTTATTTTTATTAACTCAAGTGGAAATAAAATATGTAAAAAACAACAAAAAAAAAGAGCATATTAAGACCCACTGGGTCATAAAAAGGAGAACTCCCAGTATAAAAAATAAACACACTATTGATTTTTAGTGTCTTTATTTTACATGACAATTCAAATAAAACCAACACAGCTACAACCAAGCTTGGCTGTAGTTTTCTACTGTAGCTTACACTTAATTTAATATACTGATAAAGCAAACAGCTCCTCGTCACTGGTGATCACATATCACCTTGTGAAATAAAGTAAGAAAAAGTTTTGCAACAAAAAACATTTCCTAAAAAAATTATGGAAAGAGAAGGGAAACATGATTTAAAAATAATAGATATATATAAAAAAATCAAGATTAAGAAAAATATATATTTTAAGATACTTTTTTTATGTTGAGCTGACAAATCAGTACAATCCGTTTTTCTGTGTTTCTACAAACTCTTTACCAACTTCCATCACTGCGGTTTCTAGCACTGTCGTGATTTTTAAATCTATTGTCTTGCCTGTCCTGAAATCACTGGTCGCCCTGACAGCACCCCCCCCCCCCATCATATAGCAGCTGCCTCCTTTGAAGACATCAGACCTAAGTCTGATTAGAAAACGCCACAGCACGAGGGTGTGAATTGGGGATATGCGTCTCTTCTGTTTCCTATACTTCGTTTGCCCCAGTACACTCACTCTGTGAAGCTGACCTCAGACCACTGCCCCCTCCCTTTTGTACGCTCTCGCTTTCCTCTTTCATCTGCACCCATCCTCTATCAGCAAGGAGGCGTGGGGCGTGGGGCGTGGGGGGGGGTCGGGTCTCCTTATCAGCTCCCAACATCCAGATGGTCCTTATCAAGTAGTGAGAGCTCAGCACTGTTGACTGACAGATTTTCTCTTATCTGACATTGTCTCGGTTTCCTTTTGTACTCCTCATTTATTTGCTAACCTCTTTACTTTCAGATACTATGCTGACCAGATTTGTTAAATTGAATCTCTGAAGATTTTTCTGCTTTTGTTGTGTGTTTATTTTTTGTTAGATGTAGAAATTCAACAGGCTGAAGCAAGAATTGTGGCTCAGCTGGCAGAGATGAAGAGTACAGAGGCAACAGTGTATGGGAAAACTGTTACTTTGAATTGAGCCTAAAAATTTTTTTTTTTTTTTTTTTTTTTAAATCAGTTGCTCTACTTGTGACGACAATGAGAATAAACCAACATTTGATTTGTTCACTTTTTAAATCACAAAGGAACCCGCAACCAGTGACATTTTTCACAGAGATGAACCTTTCAGCAATCCGGCAAGTCATGCTGGAAAAAGAACTTCAGGTGCAGGAACTTCAGGAAATTGTGAAGGTACACTCATGCAAGCTCACCTCAATTCAAGCTGCTGACTGGTGAAACATCTGCAAAAACATCCATCTTCCTTTATGAAGCTCTGTGTGAGGGGAAGCGTGCTCATGTTGCTGTCCAAGAGTGTGTGTGTGTGTGTGTGTGTGTGTGTGTGTGATGTGTCACACCCTGTGTCAGCAGCAGTCCGTGAGTCACCACTGGCTCAGCGGATATAAATCTTTTTTTTTTTTTCTTTTCCCACATCTGTTTAAAAAGGAAAAAAAAAAAAAAAGCAGAATGATGACCTACATTTCCAACTTCTCCTTCTAGTTCATGCCTCTTTAGATAAACTACCTCCAGACTGACATTGCCCCCTCTCTCTCTCTCTCTCTCTCTCTCTCTTTTTCTCTCTGTGTCTGTTTTCTTGTACTTAGATCCTCCAGTTGAAAGTGAGCAAGTTGGAGGAGCTGGTTCATTTGAAGGACAAGCGCATTGAACATCTGACATGTTTTCCAGAGACGTACATTACTAAACTACAGCTGCCCGATTAAAAAGCAACTCGCATTCACACGCGGATCTGGCATTTTGCTGTCTTCTTTTCTTGTTGAAGAAGATAGCAAGAAAACTTTGGAGTTCAGTCATTACAGTTGTGTTTTTTCTGGAATATATACTTATAATCCTGAAGATGAATGAGTATCAATATGTTGATTATGTTAAAAGGTATTTGTTTTAAGATGTAATTAATAAAGAACAACTACATATAAGTCCTTCCTTTGATTCTATATTATGAACTCATTTGGCTCTAAATTATGATAAATTTTTTTTTTGAAAATATACAAGTTATTAGATATATGGAAAGATGAATTGACCTGTTATAAATGTCTTTATTTTCATTTACATTTCATTTTCATTTATTTACACTTCTTGATTTTACATGCAGTAATTTATTTCAATGTAATTTCACCCCGGATGTGTGAGCAAGCGGATCTTGAACCTTCGACAGGAAAGCACCCTTAGGCAAACTAGTTTTAGCTGTAGGTTTGCTTGAGTCACTTTCTAATTAAACTGTCATGTTCAAGAAAACAGTACCTAAGTGTGAAAATGATCCAAAGATAGAACACAGTTCTTATTGACGTCCTTTTTAGAGTTCAGTGATGAACTTTCAGTTCACTGACCAGAGATGACCAAATATAGTCAAGTGTTCCTCATCCTGCAGTCTAAAAACAAACTTTTTCTTTCAATTGAAAAATATGGTTTACCTTCTTTTCTAATGGCTTTTATCCAATTAACATTATACTGGACAGCCAGGTTAGCTTCTGATCTTCACTGTAGAATATGAATTATAATACCATGGTAAACTATTGAGCTGTTTATGTAAGATAGTTAGTTAAACACATAACTATTAGTTCTGATTTGTGTGTGTTTGAATCGGTGTCATTACAGAAAGCATATGATAATCAATCTGATTTGCTGGTATTAGTAAACGCCACACGAGGGTCAGAGGGAGATTCTCAGAAACTGATGTCCTGCAGTAAAAACAGAAAATGAATAGCACATTTTTGTATGCTGCTAGCTACACAAAATTTTAAAATAGAAAAAGAAAATCATGATAGACGTGTTTATATTTGCAACAGAAACAGAAAAATTATTCCTGCTGCTGATGAAATTATATAAGTTGTCCTTTTTAATATTATTACACCTGTTTACATCAGTACTCTTTACGAAGGAACACCAGTATCACAAGCTGATAATATCTGGGTGAATAGTTTTGCTGGCTTTGAGAATCACAATCGTGAAGGTGGCTGCTTATACAGCCACTCATATGGCTTGCTAATTGCAATTTTAAATGGTTATTTTCATAAAAGTGATTTTCATAAAAGTGATCAGTTGCGCTCCTTCAGTTTCCACAATATGATTGTTTCATGACTAGAAATGCTGTATTTTTAAAAGCGGAGAAAAGCGTTGTGGTTTTGTCACAGCCAGCTGACAAGCAGTGAGCAGAAATGAGTGGGGGAGGGGTAATAGTGTGCTATTATATGCAGATATAATAAGAATTTAAGCAGTTTTGAAGTTGCAGTACCTACAAATATGAACCGATTACCGGCTTTACTTTGTTTGTTGCACAAACAGCTTTTATGTCTGCCAAATGATCTAAAAGAATCCATTAAGTATTTTCACACGTTATTCTAAGGTGTTGCTGCAACTGTACAGAAAGTAAGTAAACACCTCTGAACGGAGAATTTGATTTATACAAATGGATAGTCACAGAATATCTCTGATCTGTTGTCTAATGCCTCATGTGATGTCACCAGAGACACATGTACTTAGAGGTTTGTTTTTTTTTTTTTTTTTTTTTTTTTTGGATTTGATCTTGATTAAATAACATTTTAAAACAAAATAAACTTACCAGGTCATATTCTAAATATGACAAACTGTAGCTACAGTTAGTTTGACTGGTTGAGAAAAGACGAGCTAGTAGCTTTAATCCGGTTTTCCAGGTTACAAGACATGGTTTGTATGAATTGTCATCATTTTCCCAAAAGAAGGCATATGTATTTTCACAGCGTTGGAGAGTAAGGAGGGGGGGCTTAGATAAGAATCAGCCACACACACAAAAGTAAATTATAGAGCAGTCTTGAGTAATGTTTTGATAATTATCACAGACACAGAAAGGAGCTCTGTCGGTGAGGGATCCTGAGGAAAAGCAACAGCACACACACAGGAAAAGAATGTGAGAAAAATCAGCAGAACAGAGCAACCATTGAAAGTGCAGTTTACTGCAGACGATTCACACTGGTATCACACTGCTTTCTCAGAGCCGGATTCGGTCTAAGATGAGGGGCCGCACCCTCATGTAACTGGGGATGAGCATGCTGGAAAGTGCCAAGGTTTGTCGTATCTTATAGGATATGACTTGGGTAGATCCGGGATAAAAGGAAGGAAAGAAAAGTGACAGGTCAGACAGGAAGCTGAAATGACCCGTCAGAGCCCTGAGAGAAAAACACGGATATCAAATGAGTAGACCACCCAAATGAATTAGCACAGCCTGTCGGACAAACAAACAGACCTTCAGTGGAGCAATGAACCAAAATGGAAGTTTATTCATATTTACTCCACTTACAGATTGGATTTCTCTCAGGAGGAAAAATAAATAGGGGTCAAACAAGAGTTAACCACAATCCCTGAGGAAGCAAGGACTCATGATTTGATTGTTAAAGGATGCCGGAGACCTCCAGAGAGCCCGAGAGGAAGCCATCACTCATCAAGCTGTTCAAAATACTTATGTTGTCTGTTTTATGAACTATATCTATACGTGATGAGTCACAGTAAACTGTACTGTGTGACAGTTACATTTCAGTGGATATAAAACACTGTACACTAAGATGCAAGTTTTTGATAACATAACATCTTTTAAGCTGTTATATAACTTAAAAGTTTAAAACATTCAAACATTTTCTTGGTTCCCATGAGGGGAAATGCTTTTTGGCTAGGGGTTATAGGTCTGTGGGTAAGAGTTAGGCTTTAGAAAATGAATGGAAGTCAATGTAAAGTTCCCACAGTGAAAAAAATGTGCGTGTGTGTGTGAAGTTAAATCAAAGGATGATTCAATGCAGCATTTAAGGATGCATATGCAACCTGATCATTGCAGCCTTTTTACATTTTTCTCTGGATCAGTTTCAGTTGAATTGTGCAGGGTGCATGTTACATTCAGAGTACAGAAAAGTCCTAAAATGGTTATTCTGGTGTAATTTGTTACACTACATAAACACCCCATTTTGACAGAGGTGTGTAAACTGTTTATGCACACATAAACCTTTTGCGGTTTATATGTGCATAAACTGCATAAGGTCATAGTTTTTTCTTGATGATGCAGCAACAATCAATAACACTTAAGGATCTTTTATCTTCATGTTTTATTGTAGACAAGTCAGAGATTTCTGCCAGCTGGTCTTTAAGAAAATTATTTATGGCTAAGCTGTTTTTCCTCCCCTGATGCATCTCAAATGTACAGATGCTTAAAAAAAACAAAACACGTAGGCCACACCTTAGAGGATGAGTCAGTTTTTATTTGCAGCTCCTTAAAACGTGACTGTCAGACACTGTTAATACTCATATTCTTTGCATTTTGTCCTCCACAAATTAGTGGAGACACAGTGCTCACCAAGCCGCTATTTGACAGTTTTTTTAAAGAACTGCGATGAAAGATGCTAATTTATGATCCTCAAACTCTCATCTTTGGCAATTTACAGATTTAAAGTAATAGGAATGCACTGTGCCTCTGTGAAAGCTTTGACACAAACAATTTAAATCCAATAACTAGATTCCAAAGAAGCTGATGTAGGAAAATGAAACGGGATCAAAAAGGAGCCAATAATCAGCAAACATTTAAAAAGCTTAAAAAAACTACTGAAGATCTCAAAATAAAGACTTTTCAGTGCTTTAAACAGGATTTACTGGCCAATGACGCAAATTGAAGTTAGCTAATGTTACAGGCTTGGTCACTTATTTCACCATAAAGTCCAGTCAGACAACATGCAGCACTGGAGGAAATTGGAAAAAAAAAAAAAAAAATCATAGATGAGTGCTTCTGATTTTAAAGACGGTATGAAGTGTCAGTGCTCTCCATTTCTCAAACATATTCAACTTCTGCATCCTTTCAAAATTGCATATTTTCCATACGCAGTAACCCCATAGCTGGACTATTTCTCACCAACTTCCTCTACTTGCTAAATCTTTCCTTTTTTTAAAGCACAATGTATGAGGCTGGCTGCCTTTGTTCAGCACGCTGTAAACACCATCTGCTGGCATTGAGGAGTACTACACACTGACCACCCACCCATCAACCAACCCACACACACTCACACATCAAACCAGGCCGGAGAGGTACCAAAATAGGTTTTATTTATTTATTTATTTATTTTTTTTACATAAGAACATTGTCAAAACTGGAAAACATGTCTGCATAAAAACCTTTTAAAACAAGAAGACAATGTTTCAATTTCACAGATTGTACAAAATGTTAACCAAAAAAAATGTATTTCATAAGTGAATCATACTCCTCCTTTTGCATCAACATTTGAGCCCGTCACCAAAGCAATGCAGAGCGTAGAGGTCAGGTAAACGAGCATTAGTAGTGTCCACCGCAAGCTGCGTTTTCACTCCACTAGGTGGTGCCTTTTTTTAAGTTTATAGGACAAACTAGATGTGAGTGTATCTCTGGGAGTGACCCATCCCCCTTAATAATTAAGGCTTGAATTCTGTATAGCAAAAGATGATTAAAGTTAAAGAAGCCTAAACAGAAAGAAAAGCATAAAAAAAAAAACAACCAAAAAAACCCCATTAAATTCTAGCACCAACTTGCAATATCAGCCTTTATGTTACAATGAAGCTGCTTGTTCCTGGGATTATATTAAAATTAAATTACAATAAAACTGAACAAACACAGTTGTGTTGAAAATAATAGCAGTGTAACATCACTAACCAGATCGATCACTGTTCTGGATGGAAGCCAATAATTTGCTGGCAGGTGTAGTGGAGTAACAGAAAACCAACAGAGACAACAGCCATGAGCGTTCATGTTACCGAGTCATTAATTAAGAGAGCGACCCTTGTTTAAGGGCAGAAGCAGCGAGCTTCCAATTTGCAGCTATGATGTATTGGTCAATGAAACCGGAGTGCAACAGAAATATTCTCATGGTGCTTTGATTAAAAAGTTGACTTTGGGGGGGGAGGTGGAAACGTAGTGTGTTAAATGGTGGCTGCTTTGCTAAAAATGATCTTAAATGCTTTATAATTGAACCCAAAACCAGAAAGATGTGGACAAAGAGACAAAACAGTCAACCACCAAACACCGGCCTACGCTGAGGAGGCCGGAATACGTGATCACGGGAACCAGAAGTAAACTCCATGCTACAGATGTGAAGCACTTCTGAGGAACAGCGATAACCAAATATTATTCCAGCGAGTCAAAGAGCTGAAACCTCAAGTATTTTCTTCAGTTTATGCATTAAATGTGTGAGTTTGAAGGTCCTAATATTCCCTTAGCTTCACTTGCTGTAGAGTTGCAGCAAGTTTGATTATTTTTGTTCTCAATAATAACTGAGGACAAAAATAATAATTCCGGACAGACGGAAAGCAAAGTTGAGGTTAAAAACGTTCCGTTTTAAACCCACTGCTGATATTTTGAGCACAACTGTATGTTTAACAGCTTATTACACGAATGTGTGTTGCCATTAGACCCTGAAAACCCATCAACATTACAGTCATTAGCAAATTATCAGAAGTTTCCAGTCAAATTTTAAGAGTAGAAAAAGTAAACAATGACAAAATTGGAAGTTTTACACAATTACTTCAACCTCAACAAAACCTTATCCTCACAATATAGACAGCTACTGTGAGTTGACTGCATACAAAACGGTGTTGGGTGCAATCAAACCTTCATCAGTCGTTCAGTTTAGGCTTGAAAACTATTTTTTGTTTTACTTATTATTTTTTTTTCTGATGTAAAGCAAAGCATTGCTCAATAATAAATCAAAACAATGATTAGAATAAAACGTCCTGAGAATTTACATTTAGTTATATCTGAACAAGCTGTGTAAAAGAGACAATCATGGGTTCTATTTATCTGAATTTTAAAAAAAACAACAACAAAAAAAAAAAAACATGCATAGCCCTGTTAATCAAAACCAAACAAGCATGCCGACATCCTGACAAAACAAATTCCCACACCTCTACCGATTTACTCCCCGTTAAGCATCTTAATTTAGTTTTATAAGACAAAAAATATGAGTTATGTCCCTTTTCCTTCACAGTAAGTGTCACAGAAAGTCAGCAAAATCAACAGATTACAAAAAAAAAAAAAAAAAAAAATCATCCATAAAATTAAAGCAAACAGCCAACAATCTGATTTATCCACTGCTCTCCTCCACAAAGCTTTGAGATCTCCGAGTCAAAGGAAGATTAAGGTAGGACCCATAACAGATGAGATTATTTTTTATTGTATCTTTAATGTTGAAACATCTGTATTCAACCAGGTTAAGTGCCAAAACTTCACCACAAGCAGCATGGGACATGAGGTGTTAATCAATTGGTTCTCAGGCGTGGATTAAGAGAGGACAGTCAACCAATAACTTGATAAAAGAAAACAAATGGCACAGATGACTTGAATTACTTGGAAACCATCTCCATCCAACTTACTTAGTGTCACCAGTCAAGTTTCAATGTAGCTAAACGGCGATCACAAATCACAGATGCTGCACATAAGTAATCAAAACGGCTCCAAAAGCAAAGTTGAACGCTGCACTGATTTATAAAAAAAAAAAAGAGGAAAAAAAAAAAAGCAGGTTTAAGTACTTTTTGTCACCTTCCCAGACATAAAGACGGCATTGTTCTCTTTCCTTGTAAGACTCACACTGTGTGTCCCAAACTCTTACTTCTCAATTTCTCTCTCTCTCTCTGCCATGTAATTTTAAGACTGAAATGTGCTGTTCACCAAACTAGCGGCAAAGCAACGCATGTTCAGTGACAAGACCGCTTTGTTGCATCAGGTCGTCCTGCCCTGTGCAGAGGCTCAGCTGTGGACTCACTGTGACTTTTTTACTTCGCTCTAGGCAGTTCCGGTTCAGCTTTGAGTAAAGTAGGCAAGGGCACGGGTTTAGCGGCGCCGTTCGTCCCCTCCACAAACATGTTAGGAATGTCCTGGCCAAAGTAGATCTTACTGTTGCCCGCTATGGCCTGGTACTTCATGAGCTCCAGGTATTCGGGTGTCAATTTCAGCTGCAAAGATTTAGAAGAAAAGCAGCTTATTATTAATGCTTATCGTCTCATGAAAATATTAGCGTGTTTCTTAGCACGGCATGGCTGAAAATAAACCCAATGCAGGTGTTGGAACGACTTGAGAAGGGTGGGAGGAGTTAATAACAGGTTCAGGATCTGACTCAGATGAGGAGGATATTTTTATGGGTAATCAAAAATGTTACATTTCTAGAGGCTAAAAAAAGTCAAAGGTAGGAGGAGGATGTGAAGGTTTTTTTTCTATAAAATTGCCATCTGGCCTCATTTATCAAATATAATATGCAGTCTTTAAATATTCTGTCAGTCAAATGGACTAAACTGAATCCCGTCCGCACAGCAGCTTTGCGCTTATTGACAAGTCAAATAAGTATTTCATTAATTCACTGAATTAAAAATTAAACTTTTTAATTCATCGGGCCTTCACACGAGGCCCGATGTGAAGTTTTCACAGTCAGTGAAGAAAAAGAAATCTGTTTTTATTAGTCTTATGTTTAATTATGAGAAACTGAATTCTGGGATTTCATTAGTTCCAACACATACTCAACAAAACAAGAAATAACCATTAGAAATATTTCATTGAATCTTCATTATCCACAGTTTTCCTTTTTTTTAGTTTTATTAGCAACAAAAATGAGCTATTCAATGATGTTGTACTCCAGTGGGACTGTACCACTGTAGAAGTGATTTATTCATCTTCTTACCCTGTTTGATTCTGCAGATTTGGCAGCAGTGTAGTATTCTGCGTCAGCCTTCGCCTTCTCCCTCGCCAGGAACGCAGCGTCTAAAACAGAGAAACGGTTTTAAAACCATCGGGGACGTCACAGAGTCTCAAGACGCGACGCTAACCTTCTATTTCAGAAATCTTCTTCTCCGTCTCTTTCTCCATGACTTTCTGCTTGTACTGGATCTCTGCTACTTGAGCAACCTTTTGAGCCTCTGTCGGGTAAAACAGGGAAGAAAAGAGTTAACTGGGCACACAAGAGATTAGCAGATTCAGTAAAACAACAGATTTACCAATGATGGCTTTCTTCCTTTCGGTCTCTGCTTCTTTTTCTACCACTTTCTGAGTCTGCGCCGTTATTAACAGGCGAGTCTTTTCAGCCTCCCTGTACACAAACACACAAAAAAGTTTTGGAAAGTGTTTTGCCATCTTTCATCTGAGAGGGTGGGATAAAAATAAATAACGGTATTCGCAAAAAAATGTGTACTAAAGGGTTAAAAACTCACATGAGTTCAAAGTTCCTCCTGATAGCTTCTGGGATCTTTGGTTTGGTAACACGGACTGCCTTTAACCAACAAGTGAACGAAAAGAGGAAAGAAAAACAATATGCTTTGAGATAAAATTGAATATTTCTACAGTTTAGTCAAAGTTCAATGATTAATCATTTACCAACTTTGTGTCATGAAGTAGAGAAATGAAGAAATCACAATTCAAGTGAAGCATTTTTTTTTTTGTTTTAAATACCTGAATTGTTAGTCCAGGTGCCATCGCATTGAGATCTTTCTGTAATGCAGTCTTCAGATTCTCATCTATAATATCTGTGAGACACAAAAAGGCAAATTGTGTCAACATGCAATCAATACCACTTGAAGGGGTTAGGAAGAACAAAAAAAAACAAAAAAAAAAACCAACATACAAACTAAAAACTACATTAAAGCAAAGCCAATTTCTTACCAAACAACTCGATGTAGACCTCCTGCAGAGTGTGCACGCTGCAGAACTGGTTCAGTTCATGGTGAATTTTGTTGAAAATTAGAGTTTTGTCATAATCAGCTGTGTAGTTCCTAACAATATCCACCACTGAAAACACAGATTCAGACCGTTAAAGCAAAAACGATGCAGACTAAGGATAGTCAGGTGAATGTGCATGTTAAAAGACATTTTAACATGTTTTACCTGCTGAAGGGACCAACATATTAACCACTTCTATCCTGTCAAAATAAATCATCACACCTCCACTGTGTAGAGAAAGAGAACAGAAAAAAAAAATTATAATATAATTTTCTGGATGTGGGGTCTGTTTCCAAAAAGACACTGTATCGGTAAGTGTGAGCGTACCTTGTTCCACAAGGCACATTCTTGATCTCATCGGTCTGAAGCGTAGTCTGAAACAGAGACCCAATAATACACATTTTTATAATATCTTATTAAACGCCCAAATTGTTGTAAAGTAACACTAGTGTTGAAACATATTAAAACAACAATGTAATGTTGTCAAATACATAAAATGCACAAGTTCATTAATGTCCTTGGAATTATTTGTCAGAAACATAATTTTTTTATATTGTGGCTCTGTGATGACAATGTAAATCTTAATCATCTCTGAAGGACTTGAGACCTTTTCAACCCCTCTATTAAAAAAAAAAAAAAAAGAAATTACCTGCACTGATCTGTATGTGGTGATGAAAGGCAGCATAATGTGATATCCTGGGCCATTGGGAGAGGTCAGCAACGCGCCACCTCTGAAACAAACACAAACAAATGCTTTGGTCAGAATTGACCACATACATGGACACTTGCAAAATTAAGAAAGACATTCACACACAAGCACACAAAGTGTGTGTAAGTGGAGTTTTGACTTAAGTTTTGGAGGCAGTTTGATCTAAACCAGCAGGCTACACTATGTGGATGCCATCACAGACTGAAGACTAAAAGTTAACGCTTTTTCTTAGTACCAGAAAGATACTATGGTTTTTATTTGCATGGTCAGATGTCCAACTCCTTTAAACCCTCGACTATACTCGCTTGCAATCATCAGGAAATCTCTTAATTACAGTAAAGATGCAGATACTGGTGAATGGCACCAATCACTAGCAGAAAATGTTAACACTAATTAATCAGTTCTGAAATAACAGTTAAATCCTGATCAACAGCTGTGTATGAACCGTTCCTCTTAAATATGACAACTTATTTATTCTGACTGATCTTGTAGAAAGAGAAATGCAAAGTCTTGTGATATCATCTACTTTAACATCTTAAAGTGTCAAATAAAGCCATATTTTTACATACAATACCTGTAGTAAACAGCAAGGTGTCCTTCCTCTATCTTGTGAATAGAGGAGTGCAAAAGGATGGCCATCATCCCTGCCATTGTTGCAAATACTGCCCCTACATGCGGCATCGTCATCCTCACTTGCTGTCACCTTCAGGAAAAGAAAGAAGCATAAACAGCTAACTGTTTGTGTGTCAATCAAACCATAAATAACTGATGCGTTCAGACACACAGAAACTTGTCTGCAGACAAGCGCCCAGCCACTTCCCATTTCTTGGCCAACTATTGCTGGAAGTAATGCTGAAAGTCTGATTTTGAAAGGTTTCGATGCAGCTTGTGACCTCTAAGTAACAAATTGCCCTGTCCACCCTGTTCAATAAACAAGGCAACCAAAAGCTGCAGAGGAAATATTTGAGCCATGAGACCTTGATGATAAAGAGAAAGATAATATATAGACGGTGTATGTAGATGAAGCCCACAGTTTAATTTAAAAAGACGTAAAAATGGACCTACAATATCCTTCATTTGCAATTTGGAGATCCCCACAGCACAACTGTTCACTCAGCAAGTATAATGTATCCTATCGTCAAATCAGGTGAGTTTAGGTAAGGCTAGGCTAATGCTAACAAGAAATGATTAGCTTGTAGGATGAGTGTAATACTGAAACTGTTAAATATAATTTGAAATAACAGGATAGCACATTTTTACTACACCTATGCATCAGAGTAGTCAACGCAGCAGATAAGAGACGCTGACCGAGCATTAGTTTGATCAGGCTAGCCTGGTAGGCAGACTTAGCTAGCTAGCTCTCATTATCTTGTTCGGAAGTCAGCAACTGTCAGCATAGTGAGCTTAACGCTAACTTTAGCAGAAAGCTAACAAACTACCTCACCTTCTACATTGCTGAAACATAAACATAACCATGTAAGCGACAAAGTAAACGATTGACTATTGACATAAATTTACCACAATATCGAACCGTCTCCACCTCTGGTTTTATCTTTCACCGACCCATCCCCCTCACACCGCCTCCTCCTCCCGCAGCTGTCAGCGATCCTGGGCTGGGCTGGGAATTCCGAATGCTTTCTGAGATCCGGATCTTTGGGCGCAGATCACCTTAAAGAACCGGGTCTTCAGGCTCCTGAACTGTTCTTTCTTCTGTACAACACTTTCATTTAAAGTGAAAGCGTAAGTATGCAGGTTGAAGTTTATTTTTCTAAGATAAGAATATTTTTGAGATTGCGTGCAGGCACGTTGACAGTCAACCTTTTAGTTCCTGAAAGAATGTTATTTTTTCCACCCTCGGAAATGTTGTTTTCCTTTTGGTTTTTCAGTGGAGATAAGAGTAACCATTGATGATACATTGAAAATATATAGATATCAGAACCAGCCAATTTTCTTTTGCTTGGCTTTGAGGAGTGCTAATCAGCAAGTCAAAAAGTAAAAATCTCCCTCCCGCCCCCTGCCTTTTCATTAACTGCATCAAGACTAAGAACTGCCACCATTTGGGCTATTAACAAATAAATCTCACGCTCATTCTGCAATCTCAACCCTTTACAGTTCAGAAAAGTATTTCACATGATTTCTCATGAGATGGTTATGTTTCTTATATTATACTCATTCTTTTAACCTAGCATTTTGAATTTTTTTTTTTAGCTCTGTTCTCTCGTCCCCTTTTGGTATATGAATAACTTTCTGAAAATATTACCAGCAGCCTTTATATGGTTTGCATTTATAGTTAGAAGGGGTAAGCAATACAGAAAACAGAGGTGAATCATTGCATGTCTTCAACATTTATAACACTCTTCACATTTCACCGTGCACAGTTTTATCGAAAACAGTGTAACTCGAATCAATTTCGAAAAAAATAAATACATTCCAGCTGAAAACATTCACTAACATTCTGTAATATATGAACCTAAAACATGCATAGCTTACTTTGTCATGATGTTTCATATATTATTGTCTTATAGGATTCATAGTAATAACACAACTCAAAACAGAAAGATGTCGGATAGTTTAACCCCAGGAAAAGTACTTATCAAAGCATACGATCTTTGAAAGCTCTTTAGAGCTACTGAGAATCAACTTTGTTTGCTCCGAACTCAACCCAGCTCCAGTCCTGATCCTGTGCAGAAAGAAAAAAAACTGTTAAAACATCACTTACCAACAACCTTTCACTTACGCTAACACTACTAACATTACTTTTAAAAAATAACTTCAAATTTAAGATTTACAGTTTTACCGAAATATACATTTAAAAGGTTGATCATTTGTACTGTGTTAAATGAGAAAGGTGTCTTCTTGCATTGCGAAGTAAAAGTGTTTAAAAAGAGGAGTAAAAGAAATCTGTTCAATCCCTACAGCCATTAAAAAAAAACTCTAGGCTAAGACATCATTTTTTTTCAACTAAAGATTAACTAATAGGTAAAAATTAGGAGTCGTGTGCCTAACTTACTTAATCGACTCACCTCCCTACCTGCAGTACTTCTACGCATCAGTTAGCATAATGATTAGGTGCTTTGTACTGACCATAACAGTTGGCTTCAATTCTTGGGTGACATCTTGCATCAGGGCTGTAAGATGATTCAGGTAGCGCTGATTTTCATCCAGAAGCTGTTGAACCGTTTCACTGAAAAAGACAAGAGGCTAAATCTGCAGGAAGTTCTCTTTTTTCAACAATCCTAAACTTAAAAGACCAGATCACCTGCTGTGTGGTTATACTAATATTTGTGAAAGAAGGAAAGCAAAAAAAAACAAAAAAAAAAAAACAGGACATTAAAGATTTAGATTTTTCACAGGATCCAACAGACTCCACACTTATTAAACAAATAATTTACTATAGTATCACATTATTACTATCCATCCATCCATCCATTTTCTGAACACCCTTGTCCCTCAGTGGGGTCGGGAGGGGTGCTGGTGCCTATCTCCAGCTAACGTTCCGGGCGAGAGGCGGGGTACATCCTGGACAGGTCGCCAGTCTGTCGCAGGGCCATTATTACTAATACATTTTAAAAATGAAACAAGTAAATACATTTATTCAAAAGGGAAAACTGTGCAAAGACTTTAGCTACTCGAGCAGCACTTATTCTCTTCCTGTAAAATTTCACAAGGTTGAATGAACAGAGGAAGGGACTTTTGGCTATTTGTCTTTGCACAGTATAGAAATAGAAATATCCTTTATTGTCCCTCATTGTGGAAATTCAGCTGCACCAATAGCAAAGTGAAAGACAAATGAAAGCATGTACATTCACACAAATGTAAAAAAATAAAATAAGACAAGAAATAACATTAATTGCAACACAATGACGTGAGCATTTAATAGATCTTACCCGTCACTTGGCTGTTTTTGTTTAAGTGACGACAGCTGAGAGTTGCTCTGAGCCTGCAGACAAAACCACACACTATGTAAGGTACAAAGCTACATGACTAGATTTCATTTTTAGCAGTATTTTTTGAGCTCTTTTGACATACTTACACAAGCAATCTTGAGAAGGAACCAGAACTCTTTCTGTCTCTTTGTTTGCATTTGCATCACTTCAGTTTCCGCAGCTTTGATATTCACAACGGCCTTTTCTAGTTTAGGGAATAAATTCACGATGCGCTGCTTACACATCAGGATCGCACTACAAAAAGATAGAAACGCAACAAAACGGCCATTCAGCTGCACTGAGATTTACCAGTTTGTTAGTGTGCCTGAATAAAACATGCAAATAAATTACCTTAGATGAGTGTAGAGGTCTTTTAAAACTCTGTCCTGATTCTGAACGGTTTGTAGTATCGTCCGCACCATGTCTGAGCTATCACTGTAGCCATGTGGAGGGTCGTTACCTGCAGGAAACATGTTAGTTATTTCAGTAATTCAGTTCAAAAAGTCAGATACATTATAAAAAGGAATTATACACAGTTTGATTTTTAAAGTGTTCCACAGCCGTTAAATTTGATGGTGATCGCTTAAAGATAATTAAAAACCAAAATTACATAAAACCAATGGGAAAATGATTAAAAACTCTTATGTCAATGCCATGTTATTCCTAACACAATCATAGGGAAAACAGCTATCCATCAGCAAGTAATGGACACCATCCACAAGAAAGTTTACACATTAATAGAAAGTTGAGTGGAAGGAAAAACGGTAGCAGAAAAAGTTTGGATAACACCTCAGTGTATCACAGTCCAACTGCCTTCTTTAACCCAGAAGCTGATTAAAAAGAGCTTATATCAAGTATAGAATAGATATTTTATATACTTGGACACACTTTAAGCAAGTTCACATTTTTGTACTAAAAATGCGCTTTTCATTGGTCTCAATTAATCATCCATTAAACAAAATGTTGAAAATAAACTGAAATAACTACGATGTAGAATTCTGTCTGATAAATATATCATGATAAAGCATTTTTCTATTAAATTCTATTCTAATATTTTCAATTCCAGGTAGCAGAAATTTGACGTTTTGAATCTGTAATTTTTGTACCAACTTTTGCATTTAGTTTTCAGTTGCTTGTAGAGTTCAACAGCCTTTTCTTCCCTGGAAAAGAGACAAACAGTAAACAAGTGAGCACCACCATTATCACTTTTGTGTTATTATTTTATAACATTTATACATTTTTATAGCTCTTTAAAGCTTTTATTCAGCATAATCACTGGATTAAACAATTAAAGTCAGTTGACAGAGAAGAAAGAAACAACGTCATAAATATATGGACACTTGCAAAAAATAACAAAAAAATAGCTACTGACAACTTCTCCATCACATCTCCTTGTCTCCTGGCAAACGGACTCCGCTGCAGCTCCACAATTTCAGAATGTAGCGCCAATATCTCTTCGTCAAGACCCGACACGTTTGCAACCTACAGCACAAAATATTCCTTAGCACTGATTTTTATTTTCTTCAAGAGCACTGCATTGTGTTATGCCACCACGATGTTTACAGATCCCACACCTGTGTAAACCCATCAGCCTTCTTGTCATTTTCTTGCCATGCCCGCTGCATCTTCTCTGAGGCTTCACATAAACACACAGAAGCAGGAAGTTCACTTGAGTTTTCAGAAAAACAACTGCATGCATCACAGGAAGAAATGAATCACTACTGACAGATGCCGCTGTTGCTCTGCTTGGTGTATTGCTCGAGATCCTGCTGGATGCTGGTCTTAAAGATGGCTAGCTTAGCGTGGAGCTGCTGCGAGTAGGAGAAGAGGCGGTGCTTGTACTGCGTCAAGGTGGAGTTGTAACGCAGCAGACTTAACCTGCAGACATATGGATAATACAGTAAGCAAGTTCAAATGAGTTAGTTGAGTTTAGGGCGTTTTGAGGCACTTACATTGCAGCTCTCTGCCCCTGGTACAGCCGCAGGTAGTCCTCCTTAAGACCACATATGTAGCTGAGGGCTTCCCCCCACACCTTTCTAAGAGGAGACAGGGGCAGCTGTGTCTTTGTTTCCCTGACTGAGCATAAAACAGGAGGCATAAAAAATAAATAGACATTTAACCAAATTATATATCTCAGTGAACAATAAACATGTGTGGAGCAGCTGGCAGCAGTCTGATGTTTTTGCTGTTGTGGAGAAACTGAAATGCAAATGCAATTCCGTTGCTACTGTGCCACTGTATGGAGTGACTGTGTGTTTATTTGCAAGCAAAGCAGGAAACATGGATCTGATAATTCAGGTCAGATTATAACAACATGCGTGATTAGAGAGGCTTGACTACCGTCATCTAAATCAGTCAGAACGTGTGTTCCTACCATGTCTGAACAGCGTCTTATAAAAGGTCAAAATCTTGCACATTTTACACAATGAAATTTTAACTATTTCTAAAATTTAACTGTTAAAATTTTCCAGAAGTAAAAAAAAAAAAAAAAAAATCCTGTTGAATAGAGTTAAAATGTCTTACCGATAAAGTTAACACTGTCTGGCAGGGGTCTGGCAGTCAGGGGTCCTGAGTACTTGGTAAGGCTCTTATCAAACAGAAACACTATGGAGGTGTCCCAGCCACGCTAAAAGAGCCAAGAAATAATACTTTAAAAAAAAGAAAAAACAAAATAAAGACACCGACATTGGGTGCAAGTCTATTCTTAGTTTTTGATAAAGTAATAGAATTTAAAAGTACATTGCCCAGATAACGTGGAGGTATGGCCAGATAATCTGAAGGAAAACAAATTGTAGTCTATAATTTTCATTAGAGTTGTAATGGTACACAAAAAAAAAAAAAAACTAAACACACAACAACAAAATCAGTTTGGTATTTGCTTTAGTTTGATTCAACCAAGATAGACAAATAAAAAGTAGCTACAATAGAATTAACTGGGGAGGGAGACATAGAAGGAGGGGCTAGTGGATGGATTTTTGTAATTAGACTATGCAGACATTTGAGAATAAAATCACCTTGGAGTTGTTTTGATATTAAGACAGTCTAGTGTACAAGCTGCACTTGAATGCTCCATAAATGCAGCTGTTGGGAACTCCCCTCTAGTCATGATTGAATCTGATATGCTGTGTAGCATTTTGGTGCAGTCACCTGGATTTGGACTCTAGCTGATACCAGGAATTCTAGCATTCAGGTTGACATTCCTTCAGTTAAGTGCAGAGCAAGCTACATATCTTATTGCTCTTAAAAGGTGTCTATAATGAAGGAATGAGAAACCTTAACGTTCCCAAACAACAGAGTTTAGGAACAGTCCTGTCTGTTTAGTTTTGATGTCACTTTTTTAAAGTTAGCAGTAAACAATCTGCATATGTTCAGGTATAAAACAACACTACATTTATTTGGTACATGTGGGTTACCGTTACACCACGATTTCCATGCTCACTTCATATCCACTGCTTTGATTGTTGTCGCAAACTAATCACACACCTTGTTCCTTTTCAGAAACACAAAGTTCCACAAAAACAAAGATAAATTCACTGCTTCAAATCAAAGACAAAGAACAGGACTATTTTAACAACAGTGTCCACTGTTTGCCACAGCAGCATAAGCAACTATATGTCTGACTGATTTGTGTCACATACCAAACCGTCTGGCAGACACTGCATGGGCGCCCACCGTGGGTCGAGGGTGTTTCCCGTCTCCAGCAGCAGCTCCTGATTCTCAGGAGAGATGTGCGCCTGAGTCTGAGCCTCCAGACGACGCTGCAGGCAGAGAAAACTCTCGTCGACGCCCAAAACCATCGAGTGCAGCTGGGCTGACGTCATGTCCAAGACGTGCATAATCTGAAACAACACAAGCAGAATGTTAATAGTTCAGAAGAGATTCGCTTGCCTGTAGTTTAGACAAAAGCTTTCAGGCAAGAATGCAATTCATGTTTTCAACCTTCATGTTGAGAATATTGTCCAGTAAGGTGAAACATTGTGGCTTGTTTGATTTTGGATCCGGACCTCCGCCACGGGAAGCAGGATCCCAGAGTAGGAGCATCCGAAGGAGACTCTCGATTGGCTCCAGTAGCGGCCTGGTAACAGAGACAAAACACACACACACATATTTGGGACACTAGTTTTTCTTCACTGGTAGATCTGAAAAAAGTGTATCTCTGTCTTTACTTGCTCAGGTTGTTGGGATATGACACATGTGCTGAGAACCGAATTTCTCCATTCATGTCCTCTACCGCCATAATGTCTTTAGGACTTTTGTTCTTGACTTTGTTTATCCTACAAAACAAAGAAAATATGCAAATCAAAAAAAGATTCTAAATCCCTCAAAATGTTCAAAAGGAGCCTTTCTCTGACTCGTATGCAGTGCCGGCTCCCTTATCTTCAATCACATTATCCTCTTTCTGAAAGCTTCAATTTGTTACAAGCTCTAAAAGTCGTTTAGCTCACCGTTACTAAACTTTTAACTAGCCTATTTGACAAGCTCATGTCGTCATCAGAAATAAATCTCAACATGTATTTGCTTTAACTGACTGCAGAATATTCCAGCAAGTAGATCGAGGAACTGGAAGAATCAAACTCTGGCCTCGGAGCCAAATGTGGTTATCTTCTGGCAGGGTGTGCCACAATCCTGAGATGGACCTCTGCAGTCCTGCCTGGCCATATTTTACGCTTTTCACGCATCATGTCTCACCTCTTTCTTGAAATGATTTATCTATCTGTTCAGAGTAAGAGAAGCACATTTAATATTATTTGGGTTTCTTAGTCAGTAAACTCTTGAGTACTGTGATGTTCCTGCTGAATTATTATCAGATCTGTTTCGTTCAAGTCAAGAAAGACGTCAAAAGTCATCATTTGGAAATTTGCTGCCCTCTTTATTTGCATGATATTTGACACCACAAACCGTTCGCTTCTCCAATAAAAACATCATTGTTTGGTTGGAGACAGTGTCACTTTCTGGCAGCATGAGGAAACACCTGGACCATAAACAGGTTGTGCAGGCAGTTCAACTTTGTTACAGATGGTATGCGCGACCGCCTGAAGGTTTTGTCGTGTTTCTCGGCAGAGTCTAAACAGCTTGGAGAATATTCCGCTCAACTTTCCAATCATTTGTTACGAACAGCCAGCTTTGACAGCGATGACCTTTGGCTGGTTACACAGGATAATACGGTGGACATCATTACATCTTTATCAAAATTAATGAGTTGCTGGAAATGAACAATTCTACCTAACCTGGAAGTCTCTTGAGATCCCAAGTATAAAACGATTATGTATTATTGACTTACCACTGTACTGGCTGCATGCTGTGCAGAAAGGGTCGAAAACCGCAAATGCATTCAAAAATAACCGTCCCAAAGCTCCAGTAATCCGCCGTCACAGTGTATGGCTTGTTCTCAAACAACTCTGGAGCCTGTCACACATACACAAGAGGTTAAGCTTAAGATTTCGGACTATTTTCTGAGAAGACAACAGTCACTGATGCAACACTCACTTACCAGGTACTGAAGAGTCCCAACAAAGGATGTGCAAAGGCTTCCTTGATCCAGATCTTTTGCATATCCCAGGTCTATGATTTTATGGACAAGCTGCAGAGCAGAAAACCACATTTTATACAGTTAAACACTGAACAAAGGAGTAACAATACACTACACTGGCAAAATGCCTGTAAGAAAATAGAAAAATTGCAGACCTTTCCATCAGTCTCTTGCAGAACGATGTTCTCTGGTTTTAGGTCTCTGTGAATAATCTTATTTTCATGGAGATACTGGATACCAGAGCCTGTTTTCACAACATAAAGTCAGTTTACATATATCATCAATATGCAATTTAAGTGAGCTTTTAATCAAAGTGAAAACTTTACCAATGTCACTGAGAAGTGACAGGACTTCACTCTCCTTCAGTCCACAACAGTTTTCTGGTTTATTCAGCACCTAAATAAAATCACTTGATCTGTTAAGCTCCAAAGTAAAAAAAAAACAAAACAAAACAAAAAAAAAAACAGAAAAACAAAAACAATTATTTATGTTCTTTATAAAACAATCCTTTGGTACCTTGCGTAGATCTCCTTTGACACAGTACTCCATGGCGAGCAGAGGTAGGTCATTGAGAGCGATGGAGGTCACATCTTCTGGAACTTCTCTGGCCTGAACAATATTCACATGGTTCAGCCTGTAAAACAAAAATGGTAACAAATATGTTTTTTTGTTTTTTTTGTGGCAAGTTTAAGATGTGCAGTGTAAATTATTAACAGACTACATGACCAACACAATCACACAATAAAACCCTCACTTCCTCATGATTTGAATCTCTCTGCTCCAGCGTTCTTTATTCTTCACACTCAGGTCCAGGCGGCAAAGTTTCACAGCAATCTTGTCTCCCGTCTCCTGCTCCGAGAATAGACGAGGGGTAAAATTTGAGAAGGATCAGCCTGGACTTCATTCTCTTCAGGACAACAGATGGATTGTTTAAAACTTACATTGTGTTGGTACAGATAGACATGCCCAAAGCCTCCCATCCCGAGTCTTTCTTTATTTGTCCAATTGATGCACGTCAGGCTCTTTTTCAGCGTAGGACGCTCCATGGTGTGCAAATAATTCAACTGTAAACATTAAAAACCAGATAAGGCATTGTAAGTCCTGACAGTGTGGGACTATAGTGTGAAGCTGACTCGGTGCTTTAGTATGTTAAATCATCCATAACTCTATACACTACCAAATGTTCAAGGAGATCAGATGATCAGATTTGTTGCAGCTGTGCCTAAACGTTGTAACAACCTGTCTCTTCACATTACGATGTTTAAGACCAACTTAAAAATTATTTTTATTTCTTGATTTTCAAGCCTAACTGAGTTATTTATGTTCTCAGTCTGCAATGTGTTTACGTGTATTCTCCGTTTTATTATGTTTAATTTTATAAAATCCCAATATGTTGAAGTCAACCACTGTTGTTTTTATAAACTTCTTATTACTTTGGCTATTTTATGATGTAATTCCTATAGAAGCTGGCCGTCAATAGATGGCTCTCTCCTAGCGTATGAATGGAAAGTTGAGTGGAGGGAAAACGTGCAGAAGCAACAGGGATAATAGCAGCTGAGACAGCATTGAGAAGCAACACCCATTCTGAGCAGAAAATTAAATCAGTGCCCATAAGTGCCAATACCTGCTTTAGTGATCATGATATCTCTGTGTTTTCTAGGAGAGCAAATTTTCACTATCAAAACCCTATAGAAAATGTATGTGATACAGTGATGAAGAGCGTCAGACCCAACAATCCAGATGTGGTTGAAGCTACCTTTAAAATAACCTGGGCAGGTGTGTCTTCTTCATGCCACGCCCCATTGATGAAGTGTTTTATGTAAAAGGAACACCTGCCACGCAGTGTATTTACTGTACAATATGTGGACATAAGTCTCAAAAGGCCAGCATTTCAGTTTTAGAAAATGTTTTATTTTTTGAAAATATTATAATTTTCGGAGAAACAACTGTAAGCCATAGTAATTTAAACCGACAGTCTGTGAGTAAATAAACTAAGAAATGTGAGTTTCCCTTATCCTGTTAAACTATTGAAATACATTCACTTTTCAATGACGTTTAATTTATTGAGTTGTGAAACAAATTTATGGCTTTAAGATTAGATCTTAAATCTTAAAGGGGTACAGCCGATATTACTTGTCAAAACTAAAAAAAAACACACATTTGTACAAGGACTGCTACACTATATTTCACATGAAAATAACAACATAATAAAGATTTTACATCTTATGAGTATCCATAAAAGGATGCCACCTCAGACTTGGTTACTGGGGCTACAAAGCTATTTTGGTCAGCTGTTATTGTAGTACTCAATATCAGTATCGCTAAAGTTTAAAAACCTTAAAACACCGTCATTATATAAAACAATAGGTCTCTTAAAGGTAACCATCGCACTACAAACCTTTTAAACTCACCTTCCCTTGAGGTTAGAGTCGCCACTTGCCAAAAACCGCTTGTTGTTTCTGTCAGAACATTGTCTCTTCAGTTAGCTAACCATGTTGTTTACGGGTTCTGTTCATTTTAGTGTCTGTGTAAGAAGACGGTGCCCCGGCCAAATGATAACTTCACCAGATTACCATGGCTGTAAAGGTGAAGTTTGAGTATACAGTTTGTTGTTGTTTTAGGTGGGAATTTACAGAGAGTGACTTCACCGACTCCAACGTCAGCGATAAAGTGAAAGTAAGGAGCGGAGCTCTGCGCATGCGTGTTTCGCACTACTGAAAAACGTGACATTTGGTGCAACATGTGATACGCGTGTTTTTGTATTAATTGTTGAGATTTTTTATTCTCTTTTGTCTCACATTCAAGTAAGACAAAACAAAGAGTACATAAACTCCATAAACTGTTCCATAAACTGTTTATGGAACAGTTTATGTTCCATAAACTACAAAAGTAGTAACTTTTTGTTACTACAAAAAGTAACTTTTTGTTACTACTTTTGAACAAACTTTTTGTTACTACAAAAGTTAGGAAATTCCCTAGCAATTACACAGACAAAGAAGTCTGGCACCGCCACTAGATGGCGCCATATTACACGTTTTGGGTCATTACAAACCCCAAATTTGTACTCAATTACTTTTTATTCACTTAAAAGTAAAAAGTGGCCATCCGAGAAATGAATTACGTAACAGTATAAAAGTATTTGGTAAAAAGGCAATTGCTCGAGTACTGACCGTTAACATCTAATTAGATATTAAAAGTTTATTTTAATATTTCATATAAAAATGATGTGATCAGAAAGACAAAACTATAAAACTATGAAAAGATGTAGGAATTATAAAGACATAAAAAATACAAATGACATATAAATTTAGAAAAACATAGAATTTTATTTTATTAGCTTATCATACAAATACAGTTAACAATTATGTTAGAATAGATTAAAGTACTTTCAGTGACAATATTTAGTCTTTAACGTATGTCCACTTGACTTGAAGAAAGGGTTAATGGACAATGACATTGCAACATAGAAGCTTGTGTAAAAAAATAGTTTCATTTTAACATAAACTGTAGGTGAGTTAGTTTGTGTGGTGCATTTTTAGCTATTCATTCAGTAAAGCAGCCAGACATTTAACTTAAAGTACAAGTGTTGATACTTTATAATAATATTACTCAATCAAAAGTCAAAATTATGGTGCAGTAAAACTACTGAATTTATTTATTTTTTTTTCCTAAAAAGTTACCACAGTAAATGTAACAGTAGATTTAGCTATAGTCTGCTGGTGGTTCATTCACTTCTTGTGGTAGTCATGAGAAATCTTAGTCTAAATGATTTAAATAATTACCTACAGCAGAAAAGATTAATGTTGTTAAAAAGTTGCTTGTGAAAAAGGAAAATGGTGTTGCCCAAAATAATAAAATCATTCTCTAATTCAAAAAGTTTTTGACATATTGCCATGAAACATTTAGCAAACAATTGAGGATGAATGTTCCAGCTTGTTCTGATTTTGCTTCAGCGAGCAAAAGAGGTGCTTATTTTCAGTATATGTAAATATCTGGTTTCAACTGTAGAGGCAACTAAAACATCAACTAACACAGTACAAGGTGGATTTTAAAAATATAGGCTACTGATCTAATAGTAAATTTAAAAACTGTTTTGTCAAACCATAAAAATAAGCCCCAGCTATGTCACTGACGGGAAAATACTCAAGAAAACAAACCACAATAGGAAATTAAAGTGGTTTTGGTGGGTAGCGCAATAACCAATCCAGAAACTGAAGACAAAACAGAAGCTATTCATTTACTGACAACACCAAACTTACAATCAGCTTTACTTCATTGGAAATTTCCCAAAAGGTAAATGTGGGTGAGAAAGATTTTGAAGTGTTAAGGATGAATCAGAGACAAACACTTGTAGCCACATGCATTCACGGCTGCAAGTGCGGTAAATATTCTATTGAACAGTATGTGTTTTAGTCTAATTCAAAGCAGCCATAGCATCAAGAAGGAAAAAAAAGGTTCAGTTTGTGAGTGTTCGGTGCTTGGTGGGTCCTCACAGGTAAATAAATAAATACTTTATACACGTGTTATTATTAAATGGCAAAAAGAACATTGAAAATAGAAGAAAATGTATGAAACTAACTTCATTAAAAACAAGAAGGAAAAAAAAACTACAGTAAAGAACACACCTGAATATGTCTGATCTTTGGATTAAAAGAAATGAAACTTTACTTTCCAAAAGTCCATAAAGAAATGCTATGAAATTAACACAAAAAGGAGCAGAAGTTAATTGTAGTTGTATTTCCACTACTAAACTGAAATAACGTCATTTTGTTGTCTAAGCCAGACTTCATGTTTACGTGCAATAGATGTGTTAAAGTTACAGATGATTCAGATTTTCAGAGGAACTTCAAATTTTGCAATGGTAAACTAAACAATAAGCTCATTGCACGTGTCAAGAATATGCAATCATTGGCGAAATGTGATGACTCGGCTACGGTTCTGTTCTACCAGCTGGTGCAACAAAGTCCAGCTGCTTTCTTTGTCATGATGAATACAAATGTTATGCAAATCGTCTGTGATGTTGATGCGATTAGTATTTACTTCAAGAAAAGTGATGAGGGTTTTAGGCTCCATTTCAACTTTTAATATGATGATATCGAACAATTGTTTCCAAGCTTAGCAAATTAACCTCGTGTTTAATTATTTCATGGCCACAAATGTTACAAATAATAAGTCAGTGCAGTTTATGTGTAATATCTTTAACTCAAAACAATCCTACAAATAATTATTAATATTTAATGTGCTACATCATATATTGAAATTAAAACAAGAGCATGGCGGGTGTGTGTGTGTGATGGTGATGGCAATATAACAGATTAATTTATTTCTGGCTTAAAAGTGAACAAAAAGAAACTTATTCTTCCAGCTTCTAGGATATGTTTTGTTCAAGCATTGCTTAAGGATGTTCAGCACATAATAGTTCTTTTTTTTAGAAAAAATAAATTTGCAGCATTCAACAGTGTCATGCTGGGTTTTAGTTTTTGAGCCCACATGCAGAAACTCACAGAGAGGCAGAATGAAACTTTAGATGTTTATTGACAATAAAGTTCAAAACATCCACAGTCGGGAAGCTGCAGTGGAAGGACTGGCACGGCTGCACACAGGGGAGAGTGGAGGTGAGTTTAATGACCGTAGGAAATCTGGCAACTTGTATGGGTTCGCAGCTTACTTGTGATAAAGAATTCTGGTTGGGGGAAGGTTCCGGTACCAGGTGGCGGGTAGGCGTAGAGGCTGACTCGGAGAGGGACGAGGAAGGGAACGACTCGTGAGAGGGAGAGAGAGAGCCCAGGAGTCTTCGGGGCGGACTCCAGCCGGAGGCGCACAGCGGGCTCTTAAACAGAGGGATGTGGGAGGACTCCAGTTCCCGGTGAGTCTCGCTCCCAGCGTCGTGAGGGGACTACCCTCTAGGCTCGACAACAGGAGTTCTCCGGGGAAAACTTGAAGATGTCCTGGAAGAGGTCACAAAACAACAGGTAAGCTCTTAAGGCAACTAGAAACAATCTCAATGAGACAAACAGTAGGAAGGCTGGAGGTACCACAATAGGTAAAACACTCTGGCGGTGAAGAGCGGGAGCCTGCCGCTTAAATACTCCTCTAGATGACGATTTGAGCCAGGTGCGTACCGCGGAGCCTGCTGACACACCCACCAAGGACAAGGAAACAGCCTCTGGCGCCCTCAGATGGTCAGAGCTGAAAAAGAAGAAAACCCAACCTGGTACCTAACAAACAGTAAAACGGTGAAATACGGGTGATGTTGCATATGTGGGAACAAGAAATTGACATTCCCTATTAACAAAAGGCAATAACCTTTTTTTAATCACCATCTGGGATTAAATCAGACTAACCTTTTATTCTGTCAAATCAGTTAGTAAAACCAAAATTACTGATATTTGCTAAATGCAAGAACAAGCAATATTATTTTATTATATTGTTTTCTTTATATTTGTTTGCATACATGTCTGTAGTATTTGGTGGAATTTCTGTTCAAACTACTAGTGGCGCCACCACATTGTTTTTTTTCTCTGCAGATGAGGGAGGTGAGAGCTGTTTGTAGGTCCTCGTGTTTCTCTAACACACATTCAACATACCCTAAGTAACCAATAGTGTTCACAACAGGAAAATGTGGTTGTTGTGGTCAAAATTCATCTTGAGTGGGTGCTGAACTGTTTCTCATAAAGTTTTTTCCAGCAAGACAAAAAAAAAGGAACTGTATTCACACCTCACTGATAAACTGAAACGTCAAAGACACTGATCAACTTGTAGAAATCTAAAAATACATCTTTGCAATGCTGCATAATATATAAGAAAATCTGAGAGTCGTAATGTAACATCTGTCTGGTTATTTGCTTTGCATCATGTTGCTAACCTGCTGGATCTCTGCCTCCTCGTCCTCCTCACTGACCAGAGTGAAGCAACGTAACCAAAAAGTGTTTTTCGTAGCTTTTTTATGAAGCTTCATTGATGAGCCTCAATCAGACAAGAGGATGTGTTTGACGAACTGGCCTTCCTGCCTGTTTAGTCCAGTTCTTTCACCTGCTTGTTTACAGGATGTGAAATGAGGTCGTGGGCTCTTTGCCATTTCCCATCGTCTAGTCTTTTAACTATTTCTGTTAGCTGCATTCACAATAGAGTGTTAACCAGGGATTATTTTTGCATTTAGCTAAACTACAATCAAAATCAGATTTGATCAAATATTTCATCACATAAAAAAATAATTTTAATCTGGTGGGAGCTATGATAACCCACTAGCGCTCTGTTTAACTTAGGTTAAACACTGAGTATCCTTGCAAAAGCCACTGACAATAGTATTTTTGTTCAATCCTCCTCACAGGAATGCTGTAACAGTTTGCAGGATGCCTTTAAAGCCATTTTTAACATTTTGGTTGCACTAATTACCTTTTTTCAATGGTAACTGGATAGGAGGTAGGGCAGAGAGAGAAGGGGAAGACATGCAGTAAATGAACCTGGGACCGCTGCGTTGAGAACTGCAGCCTCCCCAGGTGGTGTGTCAGCTCTACCACTGATCCACAAAGCACCCAATTTTCTCATTATTTCATCTTCCTGAAAAGGAGAAGCAGCTAGAGCTCTCTTGTGAGCAAATAGGGAAGCTGAATCATGTGAGTTTATTTATAATGTGACTCAGAATGAAATTACTTGTTAAAAGTAGTTCACTGACCTGTTCTACGCCACATTTTCTAAAGTGATGGGTGTAGCCAATAGCACCTTTTAAATGGTGAGAAATGATGTTTACAGATGACAGTTGATAACTAATTATAAATAGGAATATTTTTTTCTCTGTTTTAGAGTAAGAAGGGTAAATTAAAGAAGTTGTATTCACACCCATACCCAAATAAATTGCAGTTTTATGTATATATCCTAATTCTGTTAATTTTTTTCCTCAGTGACATTAGTCACTTTGTTTCCTTTGTCTTTGTCTATCAACACATGTGTATGTTTCCTGCAAAAATCTAGATGGGCTAGGTTGAATTACAAAGGGAGAACACAATAGAAAAACTCAGAAATTTGAATTAATTTTAAGTTTACTGGTAATTCTTCATGTCTTAAACCTGGCCTAAATATAACTTGAATAGATTTGTAGTTGCAGCTTTTACAGCTTACAATTTATATAAGCCTAAACTCAGAAATTTCCGTTCACACAGGCAGGCTGAAGCCGTAGTGTTAACTTTTTCTTATCAAAAACAGGACAACACTTGATTCCCCCGCCTCCTCTCACAGCTGCAATACTGAAATGTTGAAAATCTGGGGGAATATATCAGTGACTCAGACAGTCTATAGCTTTAATTCAAGTGTAACATGTCTGCAGGTGCGTGGAGTTTTTTCTCTTTTTTCCTCAAAAATGATTTATCAAACAGGCCTGGTTGCAGCTGTGTTGACCTCAAATATCCTGGGTTTTCCTGGATGAGTCAACCTCACCATTTAGTTCCTTATTTCACAAAACACCTACACGGGACAGATTTTACTGTCTGAAATAATTAACACAGTGTACATTACTCAACTTTTTAAAATGTTTTTCTAATTAACTCATTTGTTTTAGTTTGTTTGTTTTTATTTAACCTTTATTTGGATAAAAATTCATTGAGATTAAAAGCTTATTTTTTCATGGCAGTAATGTTAATGACATCCATGCACAAAGATATTATCAGAATCAAAGAGGAGGAAACATGAGTAACACAGGCAGCAGTCATTAATGAAGTCAGATACGAGGGAGATTTCTACTCAGAAATTCCCCTACAAAATGTAAGACAATGCCCATTGTTTTAGAGGAAGTTGTATTACATTGCGTTGGAAAGGATTGGCAAACTGAGATTTAGATGTACCAGAGGACCAATACGGGTTGCACGCATGTAACACTCCGGACTTTTTTGCTCCTAGGTAAAAGCACTACAGCCAACACTGTCATGCCAATTTCAAAGAAACATTGGTTATTGTTGTGGTTTTATTTGTAAGAACATTTATATAAACATTATAAATCTGTACCCCTCCTACGCAGGAACTTTACATTTATTGGGCAGGTGTTAGCTGACTGTAGAAGAAGTAACATGTTCACAAGTTTCAATCAAGTTCAAAAATAAACATGCATGCTCAAACGAGTTCACACGTCAATTTATATTTGACATTACAACTTGTAGAGAAATCTCCCAATTTTTGTAGCCGTCAACAAGCTTCTTGCATAATTCTGGCAGGATATTTGTTTATTGTCTGAAATGGTACAGTTAATGTATTTTGGTTGTCAATAGGAGTAAAGTTTGCGGCCGCTCTGAAACGTTGCCCTGTTTTGCAGTTCAAAACCAGTCGGTCTTTGGAACACCCAGTGGATTTACTTTTGAATTGTTCCATCTATTTTGTGCAATACATCAGTACCACTAACAGCAACACAAACAGTCTCTTTGATGCCTGATAATTGGTGTAGATTTCTATTTTGAAATCCTGAATTTGACAACCCAAAAATTCATCTTATTCCTGATGCCAAACAGCTCAAATTTAAACTCTGATTATTTATTCTGAAATAAATCTGAATCTGGAGGAGTTCTTCCAATTGAGCACTTTGAAAGATGCCTATAAATGCCTAAATGTCACTTCTTGTCATGTATTTCCATCAATAATCCTGCATGTCACTCTGTCAGATGCTTTCTTAGACCACATTGCCTATTTTGGATATGTTTTTTTTTTGAAGTGCTGCTCTTTGAGAGGAAGGGGGTGTTTCAGTATGTGTCACAGGACATGACAAATAATCTGATTTGCTCAGCTTCTGGACGTATGCAATATTTTCATTAAGTCTCCTTAGCCCCTCCTCCTTGTAAAATCTTTAAATTGGAAGAAGCAGAGGGAGGATTAGCACTGCAACAATACCACGAAAAGAAGTGTGTGTTTAGTTTAGCCACAGCTCTCTCACGTCAGCAAAAGCAGAAAGAAGTCGAACAGAGACGTCAAAAAGGTGAGCAGAAAACCACCAGCATGCTTTAAGATTTCCATGAAATACTCCAAGATTAAATCTTTCACTGTGTAAAAATACATATGTTTTTATCATGTCAACAGCGCATACCTGGTAGATCAAGGAGAATTTGATATGAGCATACTGCGTAACTAATTTGAAGTAAAGTGTGCCAGGCGTCATAATCTACGAACCTAAATTGATATGAATTCATTGTACTGATAGAAACTACGTTTACAGTACAGAACAGATGCAGCAACCATCCTCTGAGAGACGTTTGCACTATTTTTACTAAATAAGTTTGAAACAAACAAATGTGCGTGCTACAGATAACTTGCAATACTTACAAAATTTAACTTGCTTATAATACTTTACAGTGCAGAATGAGATAGTGGCTCAGAGGTCTGAGTTTGTTTTTTTTGTTTGTTTGTTTTTTTGAAAGTTTGAAACCAAAAAGTAAGAAAGGTCATGCTGAGAATCTGTTTTAGAGTTGTTAGTTCAAAATACTGCTTGTGTCGTCAAATGCTTTATAATAATCTCCATATTAGGACCACGGGAAGTTTACTTTAGATCAATTGTCCATTTCTGTATTTTTTTCCTCTTCACAGACAAAAATATCCCCAATAAGCAGAAGTAAAACCAGACTTTGTGATGAACCTGTTAGTCATCTTCTCCATCCTTGCAGCCCTCAATGTCAACATGGTGAGCAGCAAGTGAAAATAATACTTTAACTTTGTAGGAAAACACAACCATTTTTTTTGAATCTCTTTTACCACATCTTCTCTCCTTTTAGGTGTTATCTCGACGCTATTTTACAAACAGACAGGGTAAGTTACCATTGCAATTTTTTTTTCCCATCTCTGTCTGAATACCATTTCACTCTCTGCTCCTTATTTTCAACCCTGTTAGCAAAGACTAGAATGATCCAGATTTTATTTTTGTGGAGTGGTGCTGTGGCTAAGGAAAATTACCTCATATATTGACAATAAAATATTAGACTTTTCAAGGACAGACTAGCAACAAACGGATAGGAGCTGCAGATGCCATATGTATGCATATTTCCTGAAATAAGCCCCAATGAATGGCAGGAGGGAGGAGTACAGCAGCAGGGATATCCACTGGACATGTGATTCAGCCTAATGCTCATTGATTTGTATTGCATTAAATTTTTTCTTGTGTGCTTTGGTTTTAGCATCACTAGACTGTCAGTCTGGGAAAGGGACAAGTTACAGGGGAACGGTCTCTGAATCATCATATGGTAATAGGTGTCTCAAATGGAGCAACATTCGACACTATTGGGACGATTCAAATGGAGTTGGCAACCATAATTACTGCAGGTACTGCATGTTTTACATGTAATCCTTCCACATGTTTGAAAGAAACGACAGACTTTTAATATATTTGCCCTTCAACTCTAGGAATCCCAACAACAGAAGGAAGCCGTGGTGCTACGTTCAAAAAAGAAGGCAGGTCAAGATAGAGTTCTGCGATATTCCCAGATGTAAGATTTGTAACACCTCTAAGACACATTTCCCTGCATTTGATTTAAATTTCTCTAATCGTGCTTGCGTTTTTTGCCCTAACGCAGGTTCTCAGGTAACTGCAAAACCGACAACAACACCTCGCAGAGCTGTAGATACAGGTTTGTTTCTAAAATCCTCTGATATCTCAGTGGCATCAGGCGAGTTCATGCATCAGGTATTCACACACACACTTTCATCCCTCCAGAGAGAACGTGTGGCGAGCTTTCTGAGCGGAGGACGAATAAGATTGTGGGAGGCTCTTTCGTACCCATCGAGTCACAACCGTGGATCGCTGCTATCTTTCAAAAGAGTTTCCTCTGCGGTGGTTCTCTCATCGCGCCCGGCTGGGTTCTCACAGCTGCACACTGCTTCCTCGATGGGTGAGAAAGCGAAAAACCCACTTCCACTTCCTCTGCTAATCATCACACGGGAACAATGTTCACGTGAGATGTTTCGTGAGTGTTTGAACCAATTTATATGTGCGTCTATTTAGAAACCAGACCAGTCTCCGGCGTCTGAAGGTGTATCTGGGAAAGTCTGACATCAAGAACTCAGATCGTGACAGGGAGCAAACTTTCTCTGTGGAGAAACTCATCATCCACCAGAAATACAACCCGTCCAACTACGATAATGACATCGGTGTGTATAAACATGCTTTGCTTACAATAGTGTTCATACCTTTTGAACCTTTCCACATTTTGCCATAATGCAACAAAAATTTCAGTGTATTTCAATGGGAATTTATGTGACAGACCAACACAATATCCACTTCATTCTGCGGTGGAAGGAGGGCTGTGTGGCTTTCAGTGTTTTTTAGAGACAGTTTTCAGAAAACTGTGGCATGTATTTGTAGTCAGCCTGCCTGACTTGACAGTTTTTCGTTTAGTGCAATTGCAACTGCATGTGGTTTTTGCTCACAGAATGACAGCTTTGCACATCCTTCTTAAAAAAAACCCTGTTTTTTAACGTTATCCCTGGCTTGTCTGCTGTGTTGCTTAGTTCCCAGGATGCTGTGGGTTTATTAATGTCCTCCCCTGTGAAGTATTCATGGAACAGCTGTGCTTATACTGTACCGAGATCAAATTACACACAAAGAGATTCTAGATGCTAATTAAGTTATTTCTGCGCAGAATTTGATTTGGGTGAATTGTGCCATTTGTTTCTCATTTTTATTTGTAAAAAATATCCTTCTTTTTCCACTTGACACTTGGTAAAGTACATACAATCCCAATAACATACCTGAATGTTTGTCATTTTCAGGTGGCAAAATGTGAAAAATAAATTGTGTAAAAAATATATGCATGAAGATGTTCCAAGACACTGCAGATGTGACATTAATAAGAAAGCTCTCTATGTGCAGAACTTAAATTTAAATTTACATTACAGCTCTACTGAAGATCTCAAACACAAACGGACAAGGTGCATTGAAGACAGCTTCTGTTCGGACAGTTTGCCTTCCTCCGCTCAACACTTACCTGCCTGTTGGAGTCACATGCAGCATTGCAGGATATGGGAAGGAAAACTCTGGTAAGTACGGCAATATGAATATCCTGAGAGTCATTAGTGAAACACCCATTTCAGTGTCGCTTACACCTCATGCTGTGTCGTCTGCAGGTTCGTGGTCTTACTCTAATCGGCTGAAACAGGCTACTGTGAGGCTGCTCTCCTCCACCAACTGCAAAGTTGAAGAGTCCTATAGAGCTTTACTCACTGACAACATGATGTGCGCTGCGAGCCCTGATTGGAGCACCGACTCCTGCAAAGTAAGCACATGATGAAGTGTATAAATATCTGTGGACATCTAGAGAAATTATATATATATATAATTCTTTCCAGACTGTAAATAACAATAAGTGATGTTAGTTTTCTCTATATCTGATTTATCCAAACATAGAAATATTCCTTAAATGACAAATTTTTATTTATTAATGATAAATTATTATTGATTCGCCGACCCTCTTTTCACAGGGAGACTCCGGGGGCCCACTGGTGTGTCAGGCGTCGGGACGCATGTTTCTCTTTGGGGTGGTGAGCTGGGGCGAAGGCTGCGCCAGTGAGAACAAGCCAGGTGTTTACACAAAGGTGACCCACTACAACGACTGGATCGCAGACAAAACCGGGCTTTCTGAATACACAAAAGGATTGATGTATCCTCAAAAATAAAACTCCAGCGCATGTCGAGTAGTCTTCTGGCCAATGCATGTTTATAAGAGGAAAATCTGGCGTCTATTTCAAAATGGTACGCGTTATTGTGCAGCAGGTTTGGCTGCACAGTAAGAGTGTCAGCCTAAAAGGAACAGTGACAGAAAGATGAAATTTACTTGAGCTTAGTCAAGATTGCTTCTTGGTTGTTTTAGTTGGCTGGGAAAGTAGGACAATGTTTGCTGTAAGGTCAAACTGCATTTTCAACATTAATTTGTGTTATAACATTTTCCAACATTGACACAATACAACTGAGAAGGCCTAATAATTTGACCCTGTGGTTACAGTTGTGACCTGACGGTTATATATACCACCACTGACTGAGCTGAAACCAGCTAAGGCTGAAAACATTGACAAATAAATAATTATTTATATCGCCTGTATTTCAATGGCAGCTCACAAGCTTTGATGTGTATTTAAATTTATCTTTGCATAATTGTTTTAAAGAGTTTTAAAGAATTTGTTTTTGTAAATATACAGTGATGCATTTTTATATATGTAAGAACGATGCATAAAAATAACATGTATTTTTTTTTCAACATTTTACTTATTTAACTTAAAAAAATGCTGATTCTGAAGGCTGGTCCTGCTTGTTTCTTTTTTGTTTGAGTTATATAAAATATGAAATAAACATTTTGAACCATAATGTGCTATTTTATTTCAGGTCTCTAAATCATTCTTTCTTTCTTTCTTTCTTTCTTTCTTTCTTTCTTTCTTTCTTTCTTTCTTTCTTTCTTTCTTTCTTTCTTTCTTTCTTTCTTTCTTTCTTCTCCTTCTTCTTCTTCTTCTTCTTCTTCTTCTTCTTCTTCTTCTTCTTCTTATTATTATTATTATTATTATTATTATTATTATTATATAATTAGCATAATGATGATTAGATAATAATATTATATATTAATTATATTATTATAATTATAACTATAATCACTGTAATTATAATTATGATATATAATTATATATTATTAGTTATTAGTTGTTATTATTATTGTTATTATTATTATTATTATTATTATTATTATTATTATTATTATTATTATTATTATTATTATTATTATTATTATTATTATTAGAGCGAGATAATCTGTTTCAGTAGTTTAGATGTCTGACTGGTTGCACTTCGCCTTGCGCAAACACCAGAGGGCGCTGTTGTGCTAAGATGAAATGGCCACAATATTGAAACTGAATGAGTTCAAAGTGCAAAAGCTTCAAACCGCAAATGACAGAAACAGCATGTTTCAAATCGTTATAAAAACTGTGATTTCAGAAAAATAAAAGTAAATCCATTTCTCTGGGACAAGCTGGAGGGTCATAAAGTCTTCAACAATTGTTAATTAATTACCTAATTCTTAATTAATTGTCTATTAATTAACCCAAGATTACCTGGTCATTACCTGTTCTTGTAATGAGTCAAAGTCAAACATGTTTTCCATCTCACTAAGATCTCAGGTGAAGCAGTGTTATGGAGAAGAGAACAAATTAATGCACGTTTCAGACAGATCCTAATAAACATCCATTTAGAAAAGTAATTGATAACCTCTGAAGAATTAAAATCAGGTAAGACAATGGTTTTTATTTTCTGCAGTGCTTCAAGATTCCTGGAGAAGCTCAAGAATCAGGACTTCAGTTCATATTTTAGGTGTTTGCTAACATCTTCTCACCGGATGTGGGAGGAAAGAATATCTGAATATTGTAATCACGCATATTTGTCTTTCTTATTTCATTCTAAATAGATTTCTATTCTACTCATAACTGTGGTACTGACTAAACAACTGATACACAACTTTCAGTATGCAGTGAAATTAACGCTTATCTTACCCATCACTGATAAACAAAAATGTAGTTTGTTTTCCTTCTTTTTTTTTCTTTTTTTATCTCATTTGCTGCCACTCTCCATTTTACTTTGCACACGACAGGAACAGCAGCTTCTACCCGAGAGAAACAGACTGCTTGAGTCTGTTTCAGGAATTATAATCACTTGCCCTCGTACCACCACAAGAGTCCCTCAATGGACTTTAAACATGAATGAAGTTGCTGTAATGCAGTCATTAAATCCTTGTTGCTGCTTGTCTTTTCAGATCTCTGTCCACCCTCTGGGAGGCACAGCCACACTGGCTCTGCTGTGATTTACACCCCTCCTCTCCTGTCTTCACCACTTCATTTTCCGTTTAATCATATGTTCCTTTTAACCTCTTCACTTTGCCTTCATCCAAACCTTTGTTCAACCTTCAAGTTCATGATTCCAAAAATATTCTCATCCACCTCCTGAATGCTTTTATTTTATGGACTTCCCTGACACCTGCTCTTTTTTTGAATTACCACAAAAAGGTGAAGAGGCTGAAGTTTAAATCCCTTGTGTAAATAGGAGCTGTATTTTTGAAAAAAAAAAAAATAATATATATATATATATATATATATATATATATATATATATATATATATATATATATATATATATATATATATATATATATATATACTCCTATGCATCTATTTTTTAAATAGAAAAAACAAAGAAAAAACAGTTTCTTAATAATATAATTTTAATTAGGTGCTTCAGATGTGTGGAGTGGCAGCATCCACATGGATGAATGGATGGATAATTCAACATCCAGAGCAAGGCTGGACCTTACATCAAAAAGTAATCACGTCTGTGTAAACCAGGTTATTTTTAACACTCGCTCACATGACTCACTGAGGTTTTGGAGAATTTAATGATTAGTTTGATAAAGCAAACAAACAGAAGACAATTTATTTTTTATTGTGGATCAAATATATGATCAGGGTGTCCCAAATTTTCTTCAGCTGAGAACACATTTGTGTTGATGTCTTTTTTGTAATGAGTAAAATCAGATTCATTTTTGGTGCTAATGTGCAAACAAATAACTGTGTTTTTAACATTTAAGGTGGTCTACTAATTTTCTTACGACTGTGTATAATACACAATCTCTCTTAATTTATCTACTCTAATTTGACTATACCTAAAATCAGTTAGTCAATCAATCAATCATGTAACAAAAGATCCTTTAAAGAGATTACAAAGATGTAAAGCTAAATGACAGACTGCAAATTTAAAACAGTGATACATTAATCACTTTTTTGTGGATGGGGAACTGTGTAAACACATCTAGATTAGTAGATAAAAAAATAATATTTATATTTCTTTTGATAACCAAAGTTGAAATAAAACAGCTATAAGCTTGGATTAGACGAGAGACAGAAAAGAGACATCCTTGCTTTGCTTTCAAAAACATCTAGGCTTTCAACAAGGCTGTTTCACAGCTGAGAGCCATAAAAGGGGAAAAATGCTTCCCTGCGTGTTTTAGTTCTCACTCTAAGTACCAGCAGAAGACCCTCACTGAAGGGCCTGATGGTTTCTGGGAAGGGGTGTGGGATAGGTCCACTAAGAGTCAAAATAACAACAAAAACACCTAAAATATCTATTCTAAAATTTGCAGGTAGCCAATGTAGAGACTTAAAAAAATGCACTTTGTTTTTAGTGAATATTTTGATATTTAAGAAATTAGAACACTATTGTCAAGTTCATTTATTTCAGTAACTCAGTTAACTGAATAAAAGCCATAGCATAGATAAATTACACACAGACTGATGTTTCTGTCAGCTCTGATGATTTTCTGCTTATAGCTAATGAAAGCACAATATCTGAGATGAGAATATCACATCAGACGGATAAAGACATTACTAAAACAGAAAGGTGGGTTTTACATCTGTTTATAATGAGCGTATGTTTAGAAAAAAGGAAAACACAAGTGAGGGTATCACGACGGTATCCATTGTGCAACATTGCGCAGACAAAGCAGATCAGCTCGGTAGAGCAGGTCTAACGTCACATTTTGTCACACTGCGTATGACTCACACCTCTCCGTCTGAGACCCCATACCTGCGACTCTGTGAAAGGAACACTTCACAGGGAAAGCTACATCACTTCTGCAGCAATGAAAACAAATCATTAGTGGCCTCCCAAGCATCCCGGCACATTTTGTTGAAAGGAATCACATTCCAGCTGGTTGCTGCTGAAAGCATACTTGAAAACCTTCTTAAGAGACCAAAAGCAATGCTTTCTATCAAACTGTGTTTAGACAAGCGCCCATACACAGATTGCTAACAGTAGGACTTCTGCGACCAATCATCGCCTGCCTTACTCCTCGTCAGTTACTCGCTAGTTTATACTACTCCTTCTTTTACTTGGGCTAAATCCATATATGGGTTTGAGATGCAGCGAGTGCAACACTTTACTCCTGTTTAAGGGCAATTCCTCCGGAGAGGGGATGAGATGGCAGATAAAAGACTGCAGGAGCACCAGAATGTCCAGTCTGTCCTGTTTGGATAGCAGCTTCTCACCAGGACACGCTGCATACATAAACACAGCAAGGGTCACTTGGCCCCAGGCCCTTTGGTCAGTATGGGGTGTCGGGGGTATAAATACAGCTCGTTTTGCTGTTGGGGTGTCCAGTTTCCCCAACACAGGATCAGATTTCAAAAAAAGAGAGAACACCACCAACAACCATACACACTCACACTCAGAAAGACCAAGCCAGCGTGCCAAAAGTAAGACAAGAGGCATTATAACATGGGGGTTTCACAGTTTCACGCTGGCACACTGTCAGGTGGTTGTTGAAATACTCGAATATCCAACTTTATCTTTGTTTTTAACGCAATAGGTTAGTGAAACGCTGGTGCCATGTGGTGATCTTTGAGACTCCTTTCAGCTCCAGGCTGCAGCAAGCTGAATCCTTGGTCTTTATTTAGACCTGGACATTGAGGCCTGGAGACATGAACTCCTGGCCTACCTTTTAGTGAACACGGCTCAAATGTCAGATCGAGATTTAAAGCTTCAATATTAATAATAATAATTTAAAAAAAGGATCGAAACTCCCCCGTTTAGGTTCACACATTACGAAGCAGAGGTGCTGATTTGGCTCTCCACCATGAGAGGCTGACCTTTTTGAGGGCTGCACAGAGCGAAACCTCACTGGCTTGGAGATGTTTCACCTGCAACCGGATCTTCTCTTATATCTCAGAGAGTCTCTTCCCATCAGGACTCATTAACTTACCCCAACACTTTCCTTTTAGGGTGCACTGGCACGCATGACGTAATTTAGGAAGAGCTCTAGTTTGCGGAGTGTGTGCGTACAGCAGGGAGAGCGTCAGTGCGCACCGAGCAGCCTGGCAGCTGTATTCCTAGGCTCTGATTGGGCGGAGGGCGGTGATTCCTTCTGTCACGATTTGGGTCGCTCCCACCGGAGGACACCGTCCGCTCGAGTCCAGCTTTCACCGAGGTACTCGGGAGAGGAGGCAGGATTCCTCTGAAAGGGCTGGGCTGTCAGCTCGGTGTCTGTCTCCGAGGAGGAGAGGAGCAGGAGAGAGAGAGAGGGAATAAAAGATCATCAGCGCTGGAGCTACCAGCTGCCTTTTATTTTATTTTTTTTCCTCCGTCGGGGCTGTGTTGAAAGTCTTTCACGATGCCGGTGTTTCACACCAAGACCATTGAGAGCATCCTGGAGCCGGTGGCCCAGCAGATCTCCCACCTGGTCATCATGCATGAGGAGGGGGAGGTGGATGGGAAAGCCATCCCGGACCTGTCGGTGCCGGTGGCCGCGGTGCAGGCGGCTGTGAGCAACCTTGTGCGGGTGAGTCCCGAGTTTCGGGGGAGGGGGGGGAAGGCAAGGCGAAAATCCTGCCCGAGCGTCAAATTTCTGTCCCAAACTTCCTGCGGTTCTGGGAACCGATTAGATCGATGAGGGGTCCAGACAGCCGCCGGCTTTATGGTTTATTCATTCAGTTCCGTGAATCATGAGGAGAAGAGACCATAAAACTGTCCTGGAGCTGCAGCTGATTATTTTCTGTGGCTTCCAGAAATATGGCTTGGAAATCCCAACTTGCTCCTCACTCACCATTAAAAAGACATAAAGCTGTCGTGCATCAGCGAAGGTTCACGCTTGCATGTGTCCGTGTGTTTGTTTGTGTGACAGGCTCCTGCTTTAGTTTTTTTGTGTGTGTTTTTGTAAGGGCGCAACATGAAATGTCAAACTTTGCACAGACTGGAAGAGAGAGCTGCCAACTTTTCAGTGGAGCTTGGAGTTGGAGTGGGAGAGGGGTGGGGGGGGGTGCGGTCAGTATTAAAAATTAAACAAACAAACAAACAAAAAACAGTGGGATGTGCTGATGCCCAGTGGCGGTTCCATCACGAATGGTCCCCTGGGCCAGCCCCTCCTTCTGCTCCCTGTCCTCTGTTCAGTATTGAACTGTAAAGTTCAGGGTTGACCAGTCCGTTTTTTAGATGATTAATACTGATTAAAAAAAGAAAAGTATGGATTGTCATTTTGATACCAGTAAGTAGCCAACATAGCCCAGAGATTGAGACTTGAGTCTGCATCCTAGACTCTCGTCACACTTCAGTGACAAAAGCAGAGACCTAAAGCTTCGCCTTGAGGTTTGGAACTTGTCATGATCAATCTTTATCTTTGTATAATTGAGCGGAAGTGAGTCAGTAAGTGGAGATATCTTTAGTAATTAATTAGTAATTAGTTGTCAACTCAGAGTTACTACCCGACTTGTTGTGGTCTCAACATTGTGCAGTGTTGAGTTTCCCGTCTTGCTGTTTTGACAGCTTCTGCCAATTAAAGAAATGTTAAAGAAGTCTTTCACAGTTTTACCTCTGAGCAGAATTTACAGTGAGTAATCCAGCGACCACAGCCTGGACACAGATGTGTTCAGTTGTGTTAAATGTCCTTATGTCAACTTAGAATATATAGACTTGAGCAACTTGCAAAAAAAATGACATGTCATGGTACTCCAGTAGAGAGAGATTTGGCAACCCTGATGGCAGCTAAGCTGTATGAGATTTGTGGGGTGGAAGAAATGAGGGTGGATTGAATTCAGAGGATGCTCCTCTGCATGGGAGACCAGTGACAGGAGAAATGTCACTTGTGCCACAAAGGAGACATGTTTTGCTTTTTTAGCTTCAACAAACTGAGTCAAACTACCAGAAACTTTGAGGTTTCATGAAGAAACTCAGCAGTAAGATTTGCCTCATCTCGTTGTTTTTGTTTTTTTATTCCTTTTTTCATCTTCACTTTCTCCTTTATTTCATCTGTGATACAACTGAGTCACATTGGTGTTTTGAGTAGAAAGAGCCCAGTTTCAGTCAGATATTGACGCTTCCTGTGTGTGCTCTGGCTGGAAGAAACAAAAAATCAGTATGGGCTACATCATTTGTGTTGATCTAGGTCGTTATCGATGTGATCTTTACTCACTCGCTCGGTCACTCAGGAGAATTCAACAGAAGACAAAAGTAAACACCTAATCCCTTACATTATAAAAACAGGAAAAATGTGGTCAATAGAAATCATCCTAAAGGACGATTTTGGATGCTTTGATGTAATATTTGATTGTTTAGACCCTGATTTTCTGTATTCCTTGTTTGTCGTTTGCAATTTAAAGGATTTGCTCTTCAAGTTTACTCCGAAAAAGAAAATTGTTGCATCAACTCCATTTAGGATAGGAGTTGAAGTACTAATTTGATGAATGGGTAATTTGCAGTCTGCATTAGAGATAAGAAAGTGAATCTACTCTGATGCAATGCTATTCATCTCTATTGAGCCCTCGATGTCCGCTGGCCATCAGACACTTTTTCCTTCTCTCTCTGTTCTTGTGGGTCTACTTCATTCAGACAGCAAGCAGAAGGAGGCTAAAAGCCGCCTCAGGCTTGTCGCTGGGTATCACATCATGGATATGAGAGTCCGGGAGGAGGGATCAGGGAGTTTCACAGGAAGCTATTGAACACAGAACAAGCTCTCGGGATGGAGATGTACAGTAAAAAGCAGAAAGATGAGGAAGATATCACGATAGAGGCGAAGAAGGATGCACTTAAAAGTCTCAGCGTTGAGAACCGCTGGTGTATTTTTAGGAAAAGGAAGAGAAAAGCTTTCAGACTACTTATTCTCTTTCAGGCAGAGGAGAAAAAGATGCATTTGCTGACAGATTTGCAAGTCTACAGAAGTGGGTGACAAGAGAGCACCAACGCTGCTTGAGAACGCAGCTTGTGAAACATCCACCACTCTGTTGCTGGGTAGATCAAGTTAACTGGATGTAAAGAACACCCAAAACCTAAAAGTGAAGCTGTTTGGCACACACAGGCTTTATTTTAGAAGGCTGACTCATATCTAGCCTTGTGCAGACCGAGTTAACGCAGTATGCTATACAGCAAGATGCCAATGTCACCACAAGGGTCCCAATGAACACTGATACGGTTACAGTTAACCCCATCCAAGGTGGGCTGAAGAAGGGAGGGGCGTTTGCACTTAAGATCTTGGACCACAAAGACTCTTAAAATCGCTCAAGGCAGTGTCACTCTTGAGCCCCCCCCTCCCCCCTGAGATTGAGCGTGGGCTGATGCAGATTCAGCTAAAGATGTGGGACATACTGCTGTTTCTGGTGTGTCTGGTTGGAAGCACAAGCGTTTCTTAGCATTCTGCTGATTGAAGAGCTGGCTCAGGGATAGAAGTGTCTGCTCCTGAAGGAGTCAACATGGACTCCTTCAGGAGAGCATCTTTCGTGGGGGGAGGTGGGGAGAGGAAGAATAAATAGATTCAGCACTGAGTAAAGAAAGTGCACACTTTACTGAACAGAGAGGGAGAGGAGGTATGTGAGAAGTAGGCCTGTCACCTACAATACAGTGATGATATGATGCATAACGAGCAGAAGATAAGAGTGGAAGAAATGCCAACATTTTGCCAAAGAAAATGTTTTAAATGGAAATGTAATTTAATTCATGTGCCAGCTCTCACCAAGGCCAGTAAGGTCCATGTTTCTGCCAAACCTCAACAAATAAAAAAATAAAAAATAAATAAAAAAAAGACTTTTCTTTTTGTTCTTTGGCAAACCAGAGATGAGTCAAAGTTGGTGACTTCATGATGAACTGTGACCTTTTACTTTAAAACTGGGATATTTGATGCACTAGACGATAATGTCAACTTCATTGTAATGTAAGAGCAGATATCTGTGTCTTTAAACCACCAGCAAACTCTCCTTTTTAAGTAACGGAAGATAAAATGATGGCTGACACACTGGGCATAACATTATGACGACTGATGAGAGGTAAAATGGATAACACTAATTATTAGTGGGATGTATTGGATAGCCAGTAAAAAGTTGTATCTTCAGAGTTGAGTGATTTTGACAAGATCCAGAAAACTAGAAGACACCAGACTACTGAAACTCAAATTGCTGCAGAAGGTCATGCTGGTCCTGACAGAAAAATGTCAGGGATGAGCTTTGTTACAGTCAATCCACAGAAGCATTTTTGTGTATTTCAAGATCTGAAGAAACTGTCTGAACTTGTGAGTCTTAGGTGAGACAAAGCACAGTTTGATAGCTGTGATCAATAGCTGTCAGTTTCCTGCTGGAACAATCACGTCTATTAAAGATGTACGAACCCCACGTACAGCCCGCTTCAATGTCCTCTGCAAACCACTTTACTCTGCATTATTAATGCATTGCACAATCGATAGCAAGTGTTGCTGCTTACAGGAAACAGAGTTTGTCTGGACGACCCTTCCGGGTCGCCACACTTGTAGAACTGCATTCCTTAGGAGTATTTTTTGAACAAAGAAAGTTTTCAAGACAGATCAGTTTCATCAGGTCATTTTGACATTTTCAGTTTCACCTTTTTGAAACTATATAGTAGGGTTTTAATAATAAAGTGCACCATTACTTCATTTATTTTTATGTGTGTTTTGTTCACACAAAAGTGTAAACTGAATTTAAAGTTCCCCCAAATTAATTTGCGTCCTACAAATTAAACTCTTGTTCAGTTCCTACACCATGTTATTTTTGTATTCAATGCATGGTTTCTGGAAAATAAGTTGTAAGTGATTCAAATGCAGGCAGACATTCTGTGAAACTTCTTATGCTTCTCCTCCCAATGCCTGTTATGCAAATGAATATAACAATTGTCACTCTTTCCTCTAATCAGACAAAAAAGGTTTTCAAATTTTCTTTATTTAAGCAATTTACCCTCTTGGATTTTATGTGATAGACAAGCACAGATTAGAACATGACTAGCAGGGTTCTAAGCGAGAGCGGCTAAGATCCTGTTGGTAACTCTGGAGGAGCTGCAGAGATCCACAGCTCAGGTGAGAATAACCTGCTGACACAGCAATCCATGTTTCGTTTTATTGCACCATTCATACACGTGGCAATCCATAGGACTTTATGTCAGTAGAAAGACAAAAAGAAAACAACAAAGTTTAAGAGCATTGCATAAAAGAAACAAATGTTAAAATACAGATATTACAGATATTAACAGCAATTTTAATTTTGGCTCATATACTGTCCAAATTTGGTTTGTACTTAATTCTTTTATTTATATATAATTTATATTATTTTAATTTTTTAAAGCTGGCCACATTATGTAAAGGGCACATAAAGAATATGGGGGAAAAAAATAAAAATTCTCTGGCCAGATGAGAACAAATTTTAGGTTTCTGGCGTACATGCAAAATGCTCTGTGGGATGGAAACCTAACACTGCACGCTAAAAATACCACCCCCAGGGAGAAACATGGTAATGGCAGCATCATTCTGTGGGAATATTTTTCTTTGACAGGGAGCTGCTCAGAGCGGATGGGAAGATAGATGGATCTAAATGCAGAGCAATTCAGTAAGATAAACTGTTAGATGCTGCAAAGGACGTAAGTCTTCAGTGGCAGGGCATCTAGAGCTGCTATGGAGTCATTTGGTCGGCTCTGCCAAGGTCAACACCTAAATCTAATTGAGAATCTCTGGCTGGCTGTCAGGTACTCTCTCTACCCCATCTGACTGAACTGTTGCAAAGAAGAATTGGTCAACATTTTAGTGAATATGCAAGGCTGCTAGAGACAAAGGCTCGCGGCTTTAACAGCAGCTAAAGGTTGGAGTGCAGAGTACTGACTCAAGGCTGAACACAAATAAATGCAAGCTATTCAGATCTTTATTTGTAAAAAAATAAAAAAATAAATAAAAAAATCAAAGCAAGTATAATTTTCCTTCCATTTTACAGTTATGCACGTTTCTTTTTGGTATATCACATAAAATACCAGTAAAACCAATTAGTGGTTGTAATGTGGGGAAAATAAGAGAAAGGTCAAACAGTATGAATATAGTTCATTTGGTACTGCAAGAACAATAAGCATTACGGAGCTTTATTCTGTTTACAAAATCAACTAACACTGAACAGAATGGTTTCTTGTTAGATTGCTAAGACTAACCAATAAACCATATCTCTGAGTAAAATTTTTGTGGTCAAAATAAGAAATCGCTGCAGCTCATACAGATACCACAGCCCATTTGCCGTTTCCTGATTCTCTGGAGCCAAAAAGTCTATTAACAAAATTTCACCGAAGCAGCAGGAAGAAACTGATGTCATCATTTTGCAGTAATTGCATCTCAAACGTGTGAATGCTCAGGGATATATGTGTGTGTGTGTGAGAGAGAGAGAGAGAAAGAGAGTTTATTTTATATTTTTGAAGGCTTTCAACCAGGAATCTGTTGGGATTCAGAATCCCTGTGGAGACTGAAATGCCGGACCACACACATTTATTTGACTATTTGAGGGCTGCAAGTTAATTTAAAATAATTAAAGCTGTGATTATGAAGTTTAGTGGAAAGGGTGTGCATGTCCGTGTAAGGCTGATCACGCTTGTGTGTGTGAAGGATGTAGTTTAGTAGCACTGAGCGTCTTCAGAAGAATCATGTGGCGAGTAATAATGTTACAAGTTGAAAAAATGAAATAAAACTAACTTCCTCATATGTTTTTCATCTGATTTAATACTAAAGATAGTTAGTTTTGCCTGCAGAGTAACAGACAGGGGAAATGAACTGGACCCCAAGCTGCTTTTCCCAGCTCATGAGAAATGACATGCATGCATGGTTGGAATAGGCGTGAATTGATACACACTCATTCACCCTTTCAGTCTATTAATAGTGCCCTTTAAAAAACATTTCCTGTCTTGCTGCAGCTAATGATAATAGAATAAATATGTGTGTGTTTCAGGTGGGGAAGGAAACAGTTCAAACCACAGAGGACCAGGTGATGAAGAGAGATATGCCTCCTGCTTTTATTAAGTAAGCCTGTCGCTGAACCGGAGCGCATGTTCTGGAAAAGTAAATGACTGCCACTGTATCTCTGTCTGAGAGGGTCAAAATGCTGGAAATGATGGACTTTATCTCAGCACACAGAGAACTTGTTGAAAAGAGGATTCCAGGCGTTTTAATGTCAGGAAAACTGGCTCCGTTCCCAGCTACAACAAAAAGCTACTTCTGAGGCTGAGCCCGGGTGCTTGTCCGGCTCCAGCATCCAGACTTGCTGAGAGGCTGTTAGCTGTTTTCCAGCTCGCATCCAAAGAGCTGACATAAAAGCTCAGGGTGCTCACCGAGAGCATTTATGCAAATGTTAATGCCCCAGCTCTGTGGTTCTCAAACTGTGGTGCAAGCACCTCTCGTGGTACTGCAGCACCATCTTAACTGACAGAGGTTGAATAGCATATACAGTATATGAAAAAAACACAAACCGTCAGCATTGCAAATAAAAGGCTTATTACTTCTGCTGTCACTGTGCTTCAAGTACGTAGCAATGTTACATTTTGAGGTCAGGGTCAGAACTTTCCACTTGGGCCTTTCAACGTGACAATTTTGAAAAAACACAATTAAACTGCATCCTTGAACAAAACTTACAGAATAAAATTATATGAATGATTTTTGATATTTTTTCTTTTCCTTTCTTTTTTTTTTAGTTCTTTTTTGTGAACACTGAAACAGTAAAAGTCCTGCTTTATTTTTGTTTTCTATTTATGTGGGTGCATACAAATCTTGGTATTCTTTAAGTTATCTGACACATTAACATACAGCTTGTTTTCCCACCCACTCCTCATTTTCCACTGTTGCCTGTTGATCAATTTTAAAATATTTTGCAGGTTCACAGAAATTATTCACATCTCCAGCAGGTCAAATCGGCTGGTCTTCTTCTCACGCATGCACGGGCTCCTACACCGTAAATCTGGCTTGTGGGGCGTAGGAGCGGGAGCATGTGGGAATGCGAACTTGCCTAAATATAGACGAGCCATCGGCCATTGATACCCTGACCAATGGGGTCAGAATGAGGGGGGATTTAGCTTTATTTGAATCCTCATAAAATGCATCCCCCCTGGGTCAATCGCTGACTGAAGATTAAAATTCATGTTTAGAAGTTGAGCCCATGTTTTTTCTTAAAATGTTTACAAACTGAAGTTAACAGAGTTGATCATGTTGTCACTTGAATTGATTTGAAATTGTAAGTCTCTCGAAACAGAGCAGTCACACTCTGAAGTAAGTTCTCAATTGGAAAAAAAAAAAAGCATTGTAATGGGCATTTATATAATCTTGCTTAAGTCTCACTTTTGTCCTCATATTCAACTTGTGTTTAATATGATATATTTTATTTTCATGTAGCAATGTGTCTGTCAAACATATTGTCTGCGTCACCATTCAAATTCTACAGGCTCATCTAGAAACACATAATTTGGCTCTAAAACATTACCACACCATCAGGAGGAACTTGCAGTCAAAACCTCTCTCCTTATTTTGCCTCAAAAACAGTGCAGCTAATTATCTTTTAAAAGAAAGCATTTTCTTGATTGACAAACTTTGTGCTCACTAACAACACTTAGTTGGTGGTCTGGCTGTCGACTCCCTGCTCGAGCTCTTGCTGTGGGATGAGACTGTTTGTTGGGTGAGGAGAAATCCTCACCTACATTTTCTGCATATATATGTGTATCAAAAGTGCTTCCTTCGTTCCTTTTCTCTCCAATTAGAGGACACACATTCATTTAACACACAAATTAAGGAAGTGTTTTTTTGAGGGGGGGGGGGTCAAGACAATAATCCATTCTGGTCAATAAATACTAAATGTTATGTCAGCACTCACATGTGGAAGTGCTTACCTGGTTTTGAGATTGTGACTTAAAAACTCAGTTTCTGAAGAGTGTATTTTGAAATTATTTTATCTACTTCATAGAACCTCAGATTGTGATTTTTCTTGTTTCATACTTTTTATAATTTACATTTTCTATCTCTACAATATTATGGAAGATAAATATTCAATATTTACCCTCTCAAATCACTTTACTTAGCGATTGCCTGTAGGTACTAGTCAATGCTTTTGTTGTAAAAAGATGTTCTAAGGCAGCTGCATGTTTTCAGGGTGGAGAACTCGTGCTCGAAGCTCGTTCAGGCGGCTCAGATGCTTAAGGCAGATCCATACTCTGTTCCTGCGAGGGATTACCTGATCGATGGATCCAGAGGGATTCTGTCTGGAACGAGTGACCTACTCCTTACCTTTGATGAAGCAGAGGTGTGTGCTTTCCTACTTACACCAGTAAACATTAGTGTCTTCATGCTCGCCATCCCTTCAGAGCATGCTTTGGTCTCTTTCAGGGAATTAAAGCTTTATTTAGCAGCTGCACAGAGGAAGGAGGAACTCTTGGAGCTGTAATGGAGGCTCAAATGCAGCTAGATCTAATCACAGAGATCAAATGACCTCCCTGTGTCATAATTCAGGATGTCTGTGTGTTTGCGTGTGCAAACACCCAGTCTACATGTGTGTGTGTTGGGGGTGGGGGGGGTGGTTGGGTGATTGCATGAAGGTTTGATGGCAGCTCCATAAGTGAAATCACATTGGGCACATGATTAAGCTCACCACGTCTAATCACCAGCCTCATTTTCAGAAGAGCAGCTTTTCTCAGTCACAAGATGAACATCACAAGACTGTCGACGCACACACAGACACCGCAGAAACGACGAGGGGCGAGAAAAGCTCTCAGAATGAATGCCGTTTGTTCTTGTTATGAAAAGAAGCGCTTTTGCTCCGCGAGCTCTCACCTGTTATTGCGTTGTGCTTGCAGGTGCGTAAGATAATCCGTGTGTGTAAAGGTATCCTCGAGTATCTGACAGTAGCTGAGGTGGTGGAGACCATGGAAGACCTCATCACTTACACAAAAAATCTCGGACCAGGTCAGTAAAACACGAAGCAAGTTATTGAACAGCTTGACTACTGTGAGGAGATCCTGTTAATGCCAACCCACATTAACATAATAAAAAAAATAATATTTACAGTGCCTTGCAAACATGTTCATGCGACTTGAACCTTTTTGACGTTGTTTATGTAAAAACCATAAGCTTCTATGCGTTTCATTTCATATTTATGCAACAGACCCAAACAAAGAAGTCATTTTTTAAAAAATAAAAGCAAATAAAAAAGCTGAAAACAGCGACATGCACTTACGTTTCATTTATTTGATTCACATGAAAACAGAAAAAGTGTAGGAGAGTTAAAATATTTTCAAGCCCTGGGTGTCCATCTAAATGAATGGGCCACATTCATTTAACACATTCTTGTGTGCAAAGAGAACAGTAATCAGAGAAGCAATTCACAGCAACTCTGGAGGAGCTGCAGAGACCCACAGCTCAGGTGGGAGAATATGCCGGCACAACAACTATTAGTTGTACACTCCACAAATCGGATCTTTGTGGAAGTGTGGCAAAAATAAAGTCAGAAAAAGTTTTAAGTTAAACACTTGGTGACGCATGCAGGAAGGCGCTCTGCATGTGCGGCAGAACGCACCACCTCTCTGGTGAAACATGGTAGTGACAGTGTTATGCTCTGGAGATGCTTTTCTTCAGCAGTGACAGGCAAAGCTAGTTAGAGTTGAAGGTAACGTAATATATATAAAGCATCTTCCAGGAGTTAAAGTTTTGAGGCAGAGAAACAGATTCTAGTAGCACAACATAAAAATGAGCTACACTGAAAAGAATTAGATCAAAGAATGCTCTTTTGTTAGAATGACATTGAAGTCCACAATTAAATCCATTTGATAATCTGTAGCAAAGCTGGTGTTCATGTGCATTCTCCAATCAGTTTGATTATTTTGCAAAGAAGGATAAGTAAAAAGTAAAAAAATTCCCCCTCTACATGTGAAAAGCGTGTGGATATACTCCCAAAACCTGCAACTTTAACTGCAACATATCTATTGTTGTTCAAAAAGATCACTGAGTACAAACACAAGCCTGACTGTAGATTTCCAGTTGTATAAAATGTATTAAAATCATTTCTCTTTAACCTTCAATCCACAATTATCCACTGCTTTCTGTTGGTCTGTCACATGAACTCACATTCAAGGCAATTGAATACTTTTGCAAGCACGGTGCTCTTGTAAGCATTTTATTTATTCACCCTTCAGAGGAAAATGCAAACAGTTGTCTTGCATCTTAATTTGATCAAAAAGGGAATCATAAATATTGCAACTTTAGGCCTAAAGTCAAAAAATACTGTCATAAAATCAACCATTGTTTGTAATCTATGAACACACATGATACTTTACTAAAGATATCAATAGGTTTGTGAACTTTTTAAAAAAAATACTCTTAGTAATTTACTAATCAGTGTATTAAACCATCAAATTAAGGACTTACATACTTAAAGGTACAACACTGAGTTGGATGTGTTTATAGGAGGTTTCTAAATGAAACAATTAACCTTCATTTTTTTGTTTGGGTCAAAGATCCATCTGTTAAGATGGAACAAAATGAATTAACCATTGACTCCTCTGACATCAAGATAGTCTTAGTGAGTCTTTCCACTGGCAGGAGGATCATAAACAGACCATTTATCATCAGAGCATCGGGTTAATTACATTTTCAGAACGCCGTGACTTAATATACTGGGGGGAAGTCTGATGCCAAGGCTTCCTCACACACCACTGGCTCAGGCATTGTTCGAGCTCAGTGGTTCGTGAAGGAACGACGTTCGAATGTGTCTGTTAATCACCGTACCAGCTGGGTCAAATGCAAAGTCACAAAAACATTTCCTGCCACCTACCCAGAGGAGGGGTTGAGTCGTACTCTCGCCTCAAACTCTCGCTGAAAATCATTTGGCCGTGCTTTTTGTCTCCGTTTTTTTCCACCAGGCATGACAAAGATGTCAAAGATGATCGAGGAGCGGCAGCAGGAACTGACCCACCAAGAGCACCGACAGATGCTCGTCAGCTCCATGAACACCATCAAGGAGCTGCTGCCCGTTCTCATCTCAGGTGCATACGGGTGAACTTGTGTGGGCAAACGACAGCGCAGGTCGCAGAGCATCCAGCCGTTGTTATAGTAACACTGGTAATTACAGTCATTAGGTGCTTGGGATGCGAGACTGACAATGCATCGCCCACTAGCTCCTCATCTACAGTCTGATATACTGAACATACATTGAGGAGATGAAACATTTCAGCTATTACTGTAGCTGCAAAAGATTTCAAGTAAGTTAGCTTGGGATACAGGCACTAATTAATATTTTTATATTGATAAGTCATAGAGTTTTTTGCAAAATTTCAGTATCAGCTGAAACGTGAAGGTCCAGATCCCAACAGTATGATTCACTTATGCTGCCTGGTCAGAAGTTTACATATATGCATCATCAATGTGATTTTAATTTTTGTGCTGGTAAAGGATTTATCTAAGCAACATTTTTGTCTCCAGAGTGAAATTATCACACCACACACATTCAATAGACTTTGAAAAAACAAAAATGCAACTTTGAATTCTGATTTTCTCTAATCTACTTGTGGTCAAAATTGTACATACACCTCCACTAATATTTGATTGCATGTTCAATTCAATTCAGTTTATTTATATGTCATCCCAATCACACATCTTAACTTGTTCTGGAATGGATAAAGCGGTTCCAGCAGAATGTCTCTTTGGTAAAATATTCCCACTTCAAATGGATACTAAAATTGCAAAAACATCTAATGTTAAACTTGATTTAATTCTCAAATTTCTGAGGTCAAATCAAATCTATTCTCCATTGCGTGAGGCTGAAATGCCTCCGCAACAGAACTAACCTAATAACCGGGAATAAGTGAGGGATTTCAAGAGAAATAGCTAACTTAGCAGACAGTTTATTCATCTAAAACATTCATCTGGCAATACCTGTAATTCGATCAAATTTGTGTCTTCAGCTATAAAGATTTTTGTGGCAACCAAAAGCAGCCGAGGAGCCGGCATTGAGGAGGCTGAGAAGAACCGAAGGTTTACGTTTGAAAAGATGAGCGCCGAAATCAGCGAGATCATCAGAGTCTTACAGCTCACCACGTGGGACGAAGACGCCTGGGCAAACAAGGTAAAATCTGTTTGACACATAAGCAAATTGACTTTTGTTTTTTTTTTGTTTTTTTGCCCACAAACATTTGACACAAAGTCGAACTTAAGACAAACACTCTCCCACTGAGGGGCATCTCTGAAAAATTCACTCTTTTACTTTCTGTCTCCATTTTTGTTTTTGCTCGCTAGTGTAACTCTTGGTTTTTCTTTTTCCCTTTCCTTTCTTTCTTTCTTTCTTTACCTCCTTCCTTCATTCTTTTCCTTCCTGTAGAAGGTAAGCCTGTCTCTTTCCCCCTCTGCGGTCTCCAGCATGCAAGCTTGTGGGTGTATGAGTTTCTTTGTGTCTGATCGACACACGAATGTGTCCTCACGCTTACGTTCTGCATATCTGTCACTCAGGTATCCGAAAACAAGTGTGTCCAGTGTTTGTGTCAACTTCTAAGCAGATGTGGTGATGTAAGGTGTTTCATCACTACAGTAAATGGCTTTATGTGCATCTGTTTGTCAGTACATGTCCGATGGTCGAAAATGAGCAGCTGATTGTTGCTTGACAGAGAATCAAAAACTGTGCAGAAGTGATGTCCAGAGCATCAGCTAAAGAGTTTGCAGCAGAAGTGAAATCTGTTTCACTCGTCCAACCTGTAACCCCTGCATGTTTCTCGCACAGCGTCCTCAGACAATGATCTGTCCGTCCGTCTGTATATGTTTGCTGTGGGGATACTGCGTGCGAAGTGTGTGAGCTGTGATAAGCACTTACTGTCAGTTCGTGAGGGGAAAGTGCTGGCATATGATGACTGCCATCCTCACGCCGGGTCATGAATTATAGAAATAAGCTGGTTGCTGTCCAGACACATTCATAATAGATGGCTTGTATTGAGCTGTTCCACTTGAGCGTTTCATTCTCCTCCCAGCTGGAAAAAGCTTTTTGTTTTCCTCGCAGGAAGCAGTCAAAAGTGTTTCTCTGAATATGCGAGGAGGCTGAACTTTATTATTTTCCCGTTTCTTATTCAGTTCTCATTTCCAGTCAAGCGTTTGGCTAATTACTGGTTTATAAAGATTAACTGGTAACTATCAACTCAGCGTCCACTATTTGTAGTAAATGTAGCAAAAGCTTATTCAGAAGATTATTTTACTGATTTATAAGTTCCTATAAAATGAAGTTTTCACAAGCCTTTATTTATTTTTTTTTTACCTATATTAGCTGATAACACTCTAAAGCCCCTACAAGTTAAAGATCTTATCATTTATCTTATATTAGTGTGGCAACACTAGATGGGAATTCAGATT